GCGCTATATAAATCCTGTATAATAATAATAATAATTTTCTAGCTTGAATGTCAATATTATTGGTGCGTGGTCTGACCAAAGAATTTGTCCTATTTCAATCTCTGGATCCTTATCTAGGATTTTCTGATGCAGCCAAACATGATCTATTCTGCTATAAGTTTTATGCACTGTAGAGAAATACGTAAAGTCTCTCTTTGTAGGGTTTAATATACGCCAGCCATCCACTCGCCCCAATTTATCCATTTTAATTCTAAGTTTTTTTAACCCCTTTACCAATAGGGGCAGCTTACTTGTAGTGTCTAGTTCTGTGTCAAAAGTTAAATTCATGTCCCCCATCACCATTTTCGTACCTGCTCCATATAATTCAAACCTATTCAATATCTTTATACAAAACTCGTGTTGTCCCTTGTTTGGTGCATAAATATTTGCTAGTGAATACATTTGATTACAGTTCAAGAATTTCATAAAAATATATCTCCCATTTTCATCTATTTCTGTATCCATTTCTTCCAATAGTGCATTTTTGTGTGTTCCTATTGATACCCCTTTAGCTTTACTTTCTATATTAGTGCTGTGATACCAATTAGTGTAATATTTGTTCCTTATCTCTGCGTGTGCCCCCTTTTTAAAATGTGTTTCCTGTATACACAAAACGTCTATTTTTTTGATGCAAGTGGTACAAAACCTGTGAACGTTTTTCTGGCGTGTTAAAACCTCTAACATTGTAAGTAGCAAATGCTAGACTACCCATATCCGAGTTAAGTGACTCTCTAAAATTGTTAAGCATAAGACCTGAACCCATACATTACAACAAAACCATCTTACTAACATCATTTATTCTTACATCTTCTATACAATTAATATGTTCTTGTATGCAGGGTGGTACGTTTTTTTTTTGGCCCATCCTGCATAAACCAATCAAGAACCAGCCCAAAAAAAAAAAAACAGAGAAAACAATGGGCTCTATTGGGGTTGTAAAGGCCAGATATCCGTCCGTCCAATGCTGTTCCCGCCCACCACACCCGCATCACCATAATTTTACCTTACCCGATCTTATCCCTGTAATCTTCAATCCATATTACTTTTGTGTTACGCCTCTCTCCGACCACGTTTTTCGGTCCCCTTTGCCCTGGGATCCTATCTGACCCTCTATGGGGGGTCAGGGGGCCGACCAGGGGGGACGGAAATAAATTTATTTAATTATATTTTTATATTATTATTATTTAATTTTTATTTTTTTCCCCATATATGGTTCATATACTTCCTCTATTATATTTATTAACGACTCACTACAGTCCAACCCTGGCTTTGTTGTTCACTAGTTGTAGTTAGGTCCTTTGGCAAGTCTGGTAGGGGTATCAATGGCATATCGAATGTTTCCAGAAAAATTGGGAGATCTTCCGGTGTCCTGAATTTTACCGTTTTACCATCTCTGTGAGCTATTAACTGAAAAGGGAACCCCCATCTGTATCTTATTCCTCTCTCCTGTAGGACCTCAAGTAGGGGTCTCAGGGCCCTTCTAAGCATCAAATGTCTGTTTTGAGAGATCCGGGAAAAAGGTCACTGTATATCCCTCATGTGTTATTATTTTCTTAGTTCTTATTGCTGAGAATATTGCTTCTCTTTCCAGAAAGTTTTGTAGGCGGCAGATCACATCTCTGGGCCTTGTTGAATCTCTTTTAATAAATCCCGGTACTCTATATGCAGCCTCCAAAGATAATTCCTCTTCTGGGGTTTTATCCATTATTCCATTTAGAATAGACTTAATTGTTGAACTACTTGTCTACTTCTGTTTTCCATATCATCTATTTAAGTAGCATGTCTTGGATCAAAGTAGACGGTTTGTTAATGATTTTCTGTTGTATATCCATCCTGGAAGAACCCATTTCCAGATTTTCTTCTAGCCCCCTTACTCTGTTTCCTATTTTTGAAATGTCAGTTTTTAACACTTGCAATTCCTCTTTATATGTCGTTTCAAGTCTTGATATATATCCTTCCATATCCCCCTTAATGGGGAGAGATCTCAAATATTGTCCCATATCCTGCTGCTCCATCCCCTCCTGCTCCATTCCCTCCGGTCTGTCATTAGTTTTTTGGCTGTCTGTACCCCGGGCTGATACATGGCTTTGCACGATTCTGTCCTCAATATACTTGTTTGAGCTAGCCCGATCATTCCCATTACTAGGAGAGGCAGGTGCCATCATCCTATTGTCCCCACCTTGTGAATAATGAGAGCGGGTACCTGCAAAATATGTCCCAATCTTCGATGTGGAACTCCGTCTCATTGATGCTGTTAGCAGGGGCTGCTGCGGTGATGGCTGCTTCTCCTTCTTCTTTCCCTTGCCTCCCATTATATAGTCTTTGGAGTAGCTGGTTCAGGAAGGAGAGGTAAAGGCTCACGTCTGTTAGGCTGCTGCGAGAGTTCTGCAGATGGGGACTGGCGGTGGGTCCAGGGCAGACCTGTGAGACAGGCAGGGCCGAGGTAGGGCCGAATTGAGCGGCCGGAAAAAAGGATATCAACTCACAGTGTACCAGGCTGGAAAGACATCACCTGGCCTCTGGATCTTACTTTTTCCAACTACTCTGGATACACGAATAGATCCCACAGAACAAATATAGATATTCAGTGAAGGCAATGATTTACCAGCATTAGCGCACAAAGCCGAGATACAGTTATATCTCCTGAATTTCCTGTTCTGTGTTCATCGGATGAAACTACAAAGTTTAAAAACACAATTTTCCATCTTCAGAGCCGACACTCCAAAGGAGGACACATTCCATCTTGAGTTAAATTTATTCTTTAATCCGATTGACTGTTTTCCATGAGTTTTCATTTTTTCATACAATATTTGCTCATCTCCAGCTTTACAGAGAACTATTTCCATCCATTTTTTATTTATTTTCTCTTCCCTCCAGTAAATACGCATTTTTTCCTTGAAGATTTTTGAAATTTACGAACCCTGTTCTTTTGATACCAGATTTCTCATTTTATATTCAGAATATAGGGGATTCAAACGGGGTGCCTACATACTGTTTTTTCCACAATATATTGTTTGGGAATAATTAGCGGAATGCAGCCATATAAATGTGTGTATGTTTTTTGATATTAATGTATATATTTTGTCATGTATTTTGGTATACCCGATTTTTTTATAGCTTTTCATAAATAAATACAATTTTTATAAATACTTGATATATACTTTTTGAAGGAGTGGTTGGATCCCCTATTTGGGGAATATGGTATTTTGTTTAAACTTGATTGATCCAGATATTAGAAGCAATTACGATTAGTGGCAAGTGTGTTTTTACAGGTAAATGGCATAACTGATACAACCAGTGACATGCATTTAATATAGCCGACAAAGAAAGCATCAACAAACACAAATGAAGATAATCAATAATTAAGTCTGATTTAAGAGTTCTGAAAATGTGTAAGAAATATTGCCGATGATACATTCCGACACAGACATCAACCACAATCAGAAACACAATAGTTTATCGCTATAGTAAAAGCAGGTATAAGCATGTCTTAGCACATCTGGAGACACATTAAGCACCTGTATGCTGCCTTCACAACTTTTTTTTCTGTTTTTGTAAATATTAAAGGGTTAATGTCACATGTGTTCACCAATGAACTCAACTCTAAAACTTTGCATGGCACTAGCACCCCTAGATGGTGCTGATGAGTATAGGATAAGCCCTATGTGTAATGACTATGACAACCAAAAGGTAAAAACACCCCATCATAACCCCACTGCCTTATATTTCCATTACAACCATAAAGCAGTGAAGAATCCAAATAATTAATTAGGCCTGCTTACCTGTTCGGCTCCCACCATACTGATAGGCTTGCATTTAAAAAGATGGTTGATGAATTTTGGTATAAAAGAGCTGAAAGAAAAAGGAAAATCATATTTAAAAAAATGATGGTTAAAAAGATAATAAAGCACCAAATGTGTAGACAGCTAGAACAAAAGCGGGAATATTAACATCTAAGAGAAGAAGAAAGCCCATGTCAGACTTTCCAAACAAATACCATATTAACATGTGCAGAAGATTTACAGCTACAGAAGTTACAGATGAGAACCATACAAGTGAGGCTTTGAAACTCTCGATGGGTGTCAATGACATATAAGCTGAATAAACATTTTAGCAGCAGTGCATCTGTAAATGTTAGTGCATTCGCTGATATGGCAACATATAAAGTAAACAGGATCATTTTATTCTGTTGAGAGAACTTTATTCTTTTTCTTGGGTATATAAACATATTTGAAGACAAATTTTTACGGCTGAACAGGGAGATATATAACGCCAGCTTGTGATCCAGTTATTCCTACAGTATTTAACTCCGTCTTTTACTTGGCTTCCAGTAATTCCCTGTATAATAAGAATTGTGAACTGATCTGGATCTACTGCACTGTACTATGCTATCACTCTTGTTGACAGAAGATGGAGCACTGCAGTTGTCTTACTATGGCGATACTCCACCAATGTCCAATCAGCAGGCTGGACTCAGATCGGTGACCAAGCTGTATGGCTTAGCTACAGTAAAGAAAAGTGAGGTTGCATAGATGTGCATGTAGCCATTTGCCCAGAGTTTGGTTTATGCCTGTGAGGTTTAAATACAGTGGAATGCACAATAAAAGTATCACAACCAGTGCAGTGGTAAAACTATATACACTGAAGTTTTGCCAATAGCAAGTTATGAACAGAAGCAGATATTGGGCCTGCTTTTGGCAAATGTAAAACAAGCTAAAAAATCCAACAAAGGCTTGATCTAAACATACAGGGTTATTAGGGATATAGACATAAATATACAAGTACTCCACCCTTAAAGAACCCCACTTAATTACATTAAAGTGATATTAAACCCTCATTTTTTTAATCCTCCAGAGGAAATCCACTTGTATTTGTGTAGCCGTTTGATTTTTTTTTCTCTTTCCATTTAATTTTTTTTTTAACCTAATGTACCGTGGGCCCACTCCCCTCCTGTTTACGGGCGTCTCCTTTGCCTAGCAGGTTGCAAAGGAGTCACCCGTGCATGTGCGCTCCCGGCCGTGAATGAACCGTGCCGTGTGCATTAACTGACACGTAGCACTCAACACCCCTATTCCCACCTCCTCCCTCCTCACAGTAACTTGATAGGCAGGTACAGCAGCATATCGCTGCCCTGCTCTATGTAGGCTCAGGATCCCAACCCGAAATTTCGGGGCGCGCCGCAGATCGCCTGAGAGCCAGCAGTTGTGCACAAGGAGTGAAGGTAAGTGTTTAAAGGTGGGGGGCATGTAAAGGTAGTGGGCTGTTTTTTACCTTAATGCAGAAAATGCATTGAGGTAAAAAAAACAAATAGCCTTAGTACCACTTTTGAAGATAAAAAATTGCCCCATCCCACTTGATTGTGCTGCTGTGATTTACATAAATTGGCAAACTGAGTCTGACCAGTAATAACCCAAGAGCTCTGGTGGGGGGATGCATACATGTAATTAAGGAGTGTTTCTATTTCACGTGCCACCCGAGAGCATTAAACAGTTCTTATTCCCCACTCCTGTGCTTAGCCCTGCCTAGCCATTTCTTCCACACAGCATCCCACACTATATATTCTGCATCCTTGTGCCAATGATAGTACAATGTAGCTGAGGGGATTACGAGGTGAGGTGAGGTGAGGTGAGGTGAGAATTCCATTTCATGCCACCATATATTCTGCCATCAACCAGAGATGTCAAGTTGAACCTGCTAAACTATATAAAGCATGATAGCATACAATGTAGAGCACATTACTGTATAGCAATGCCAACCATATGTAGACAGTTGAAATACTTGACAGAACACGTTTATCAGCATTTCATGACAGACACTCGGCAGTGCCAAAAAAAGACAGATGCATTTTAAGGTTAATAAATTTGCTGAAGAAATAAGCTCATATAACATTTTTTTCTGTTATATATAAAAGTTAAGGTTCCTATTTTTATATATTTTTTATGCTGAAAGTGTCAAGTGTAAAGCCCAAGTGTTGTTTCTCAGAAACCAAAATAGAACAGAAGTATTAAAACATAAGTTTAAAAAAAATATATATATTTTAGATCCTATCCCCTATATCCTATCCTAAGGTTCATTTGTTAGTGCGGCCATGTGGTAGACTTCAGATGGTAGAGTAGCTCCACCGATATGGCGAGTTGAGGAGCGCACTAGGGCGGAATGGAGTATAGCAAGTGGCCCGTCTTGGCGCCTATTCGCTCCCCCTCCCATCGCACTTCTACAGTGATTTCCCCTCCATTCTACTCTGCACTGTCGGGTGCTTTCCCCTGAGGAGCGTCTCCCACTTGGTCGCCAGCTACCTCATCCAAGGAAATAATTCCAACTTGACTCGTCTAATTTCAACATTTCACCTAGATTCATTGTAGTCACAAACTCACCGGCTTCCTCATCTTCGCCTCTCCCTAATCGTCCTGCATGTTTCTCTGGCAGCCTCTCCACCCGATCGCTCCATTCCAGCAGAACGCAACACAGTAATTCATATTCCTTACAATATTACTGGTAATGATCACGTCCAAAACATACGTTTTTAATGGTTTTTCCATCTCCAATGTAATTGAACACAAGGACCAGCCTGAAGTTCAAGATACAAGCAGGTTGAAGACAAGAAACATTGCCTTCTCTCAATCTCACAATCCTCTGCATAATCACAACTACTGTTCTTCATTCAGCAGGAGGCGTGAGTGTAGCACAGTGGTGGCGAACCTTGGCACTCAAGCTGTTCCAAAACTACAAATCCCAACATGCATCTGCCACTGGGAGTTATGTCTGTGGCTGACAGAGCCTTGCAATGCCTCATGGGACTTGTAGTTCCAAAACAGCTGGAGTGCCAAGGTTCGCCACCACTGGTGTAGCATTTTGGTTTTGAAACTATGATTGGGCTTTAATCTTTTATCTAAAAGCAAAAGCCACCAATACCTATTAAAGGAGAACTATGGGGTTAGGGCTTTTGCCCATAGTTCTCCTTAGGGTAACGGGAGGACACAAACTAGCGTCCTCCCGTCACCCTAAGCTCAGTATACCGCGAGCTACAGCAAAAATGCACCTTTGCCTGTGTGCGCAAAAATCCTTGCACTGGCCCTGCTTGAGTGGTAGAGGTAATGAGCCCAGCTGAAGTCACCCTAAGCTCAGTATACCGCGAGCTGCAGCTTGCAGTATACTGAGACGCCGCAGCTGAAGCGGATCCCGACAATTATGTCTGGATCCGCCCAGCTGCTTGAGTGACAGCTGGCTCTGACTATCTAGAGGCAGAGCCAGCTGTACCTGCCCCCTCTCCCGTCCGTTCCGCCAGTCAGCGCTGGAGGATTGGAGGGGGGAGGGGGGAATCCAGTCCCTCCCGTCACGGCAGAGAGCAGTAACAGGATCGAGAAGTGAGCGAATGCCCGTATGTGTTCGCTCACTTCCCGATCTACTGAGCCGACCTGTGACAGTTTCATTGTCACAGGTCGGCTAGAACTATGAGGATGAGTGAAAAGCACTCACCTCATAGATGTCCTTTAACCTTCCAATGATGAAACGTCCACAAGCTTCCTCACCAGCATCTTTGGCTACCTTGACTGGCCAGACTGACGCAACGAATATGCATAAACATGTGGATTAATTTATTCTGATACCAAGTCATGCCAAGAAAGTCCCCTGTTCAGTGCATATTCAAAAGAATTTTGCGAGCAGGCAGTAAGAATGTTTTATTGCAGAAGAGACATACATCTCAATTCGCAAAAATAAAACACCAGGATAAGGATACTTATTTTCAATGAAGGCTGAAAAACAGAGTTGCATGGCTAAAAAAAATTGAGACTCATCCTTGTATATAGCTTTGTGAATTGAGCCTTTAGTATGTTTCTACTGAAACAAAACCTGCCTTCTTGCAAATCATGCCGAGGTCAAAAGAGCTCTCTAAGTCTCTCAGAAAGAAGAATGTGGATGCCAAAAAGTCTGGCAAGGAAGTTTAAAAGATTAACAAACTATTTAAAATGACTCATTCGACTGAGAGGAAAATAATATACAAGTGTTGTAGATTTCAAATGGCTACTAATTATTCCACGAGTGGTCGGCCCAAAAAATTCAGCACAAGAGCTAACCATTTGATGGTAAAAGAAGTCTCCAAGAAACCCAAAATGAAATTGCAGAGTCTGCAGGTAACTCTTGCACAGGTAATGTCAAAGTGCATTCAAATCAGAAAAAGATTGCACCAAAACCCGCATGGGAGGTGTGCCAGAAAAAAAAGCCTTTGCTGTCCAAAAAGAACATTACAGCAGCACATCATTTTGCCATTGAACGTATAGGTAAAAAGCAAAGCCTCCTGGAAAAATATGCTGTAGACTAATTACTCAAAGATAAAGTTGTTTGGCCACAGTAACAATAAACATGTTTGGCACAAACCGAAGACAGCATTTCAGGAAAGGGAACCTCATACCAACTGTGGAGCATGGTTGTGGAAATGTTATGGTTTGGGGTTGCCTTCCTGCTTCACGATCTGGGCAACTTGCAGTCAACCACAACTTCTGCATCATATCAAAATTTGTTAGATGAGAATGTAAGGCCATCTGTATGAAAGTTGAAGTGGAATAGGGGATGGATGTTTCAACAAAATAATAATCTGAAGCACACTAGCAAATTCACAAAGGAATGGCTCAAAAAGAATACTGGAATAGTCAAAAGACTAAGTCTAATCAAAGCCCTGATTTAAAGGGGAACTATGGGGTTAGGGCTTTTCCCCATAGTTCTCCTAAGGGTAACGGGAGGACACAAACTAGCTTCCTCCCGTCACCCTAAGCTCAGTATACCGCGAGCTACAGCTCGCGGTATACTGAGACGCCGCAGCTGAAACGGATCCCGACAATGTCTGGATCCGCCCAGCTGTGTGAGTGACAGCTGGCTCTGCCTATCTAGAGGCAGAGCCAGCTGTACCCGCCCCTCCCCCCGTCCGTTCCGCCAGTCAGCGCTGGAGGATCAGAGTGGGGAGGGGGGAATCCAGTCCCTCCCCTGTCACGGCTCTCTGCCGTGACAGGATCGAGAAGTGAGCGAACGCCGGTATGTGTTCGCTCACCTCCCGATCTACTGAGCCGACCTGTGACAGTTTCATTGTCACAGGTCGGCTGGAACTATGAGGTGAGTGAAAAGCACTCACCTCATAGTTCTCCTTTAAATCAAAGCCCTGTGGGTGGCATTTAAAATGATCAGTTCATGCAAGGAAAACAATAAACATATTGCAACTTAAGGAATTTTGCCTGGAGATGTTAGCAAAAATGTTGATGTCAGACACTGGTGGGCAGCTATGCAACGTGCCCACAAGACATTTTCTGTTCAATTAGACAATACCAGCTTCTCCGGGCATGGAGACACAACATTTTTGTGGCACTAAGGCATTATGAGATATTTGGTTCTGGTGGTACACTCGGTCCTGGGGCATGACCTGACACAAGTTTTTGGGGGAGGGGGGTTGGGGGGGGGGGTTGTTCGGTGGGGATGGAGGGTGGGGGTGTGGGATGTTAAGACTAAGTATGTACCCCTACTGCTGTAGGTGATTGTTGTTAATGTTGTTATATGCAAAACTGTTATATGCAAAACTGAATAAAAAGTACTTTTCAAAAAAAAAGACAATACCAGCTTCTGAGGCCAGGGGTGTTGAAAAAAATCATCAATAATGCAACATTTTATTGAAGTAGATCACCTTTATCTATAAGCGCTGTTTGAATGAAGATCTAATGTCTGCCTGTTCAAATATATTGATAAAAGTAAACTATTTCCATGGTTACTTATATTTTCACACAGCTGTACATAAGTTACATAGGTATTAAAAGCAATTTCACCTCTGTAGCTACAGGCAGTGTGGAGAAATTCATCATTAAAATGCACAACAGAGACACTGAAATCACAACTCTATTATAAACAAACAGGTGTTTCTAAGCTGTTAGAAACTGATGGAAAGCCAACGACAGAGTCTCTGTTGTGATCTTTGAGGATGAATCAACTTCACAATAAGTGCAGCTAGTAGGGTCATTGAGGGCTTGTTTTAAGCTACTTTATTGCTTGTTAAGAATAAGTAAAAATGTAAATGTCCATAGTCTGAGCACAGGTGCATTTAAAAAAACATCTTCCATCTTAGGGTCCATAGAAAGGCCTAATAGTGCCTAAAGGCATCCAGTTCTATATTAGAAATTGCTGCAATCCATGATAGTTAAGACCCACCATGATACAGTAAAAAATAAGGGGTTAAAAAGGCTCTTAAGTGGCTTTTAATAGTTCTGTTTTTGAATTAACTTTTCCTGGAGAGTAATGAAACCCACTTCAAATTGCATCTAAAGTAGACTGCCAGGAAACTAAAGTTGTAACAACATATATAAACATAATAACGGAGAGAAACAAAAATCTTTCATTTCTATCATAACAGCTTCCAAAAGAGTAACCATCTACATATATTTAAAATACCAAAGGTTTTTTTTTTTGGCATTACAATTGAACCACTTATGTTATTCATTGATGCTGTGTACGAAAGCATTTCTTGGGAGCACTTAAATCTACATGCCTGCACTCTATGTTTACTTAAGATTTTCTTATACTGTAATAAAATGCTACAGACCACAGTGAAATCACTTCAAGTGATTTTGCTAGAGGGCAAAAATAAATTTACTTGGTTGTTTATCCCATGAAACCCACAAAATTGTCAGTAAGGGACGCAACAAATTTTGGCGCAAGCACAGTATTTTTCTATGATGTGCTTGCATGACTACCATACTGTCTACCAGTAAAAAGTAGAATATGGTCCCCCCAACAATATCTCGATATGGCCTATAAACCATTTGACAACACACTCGCACACCGAGGCACTTTTTGTCAAGTATGCTTAAAGGGGTTCTAAACAGTAGATATAGGCAAAAAGTTTTCTTTTAAACGCTTTAACAGCGGTTTACACTTACCCTGTTTTCGTTGCGCGCTCCCGCCCGAGAATCCGAAACTGCTCGGGCGGCCACAAAGCATCTTGGGGTGGGCGCATACGCAGTTCGGATTTTCGGCCGGGAGACGAGCAGAGACGCAAGGTAAGTCTATGGACGCGTGCACTCGCATGCAGACACTGCTGGATCGGAAGTGCCTGCAAGCAGAGAGTCAGCGCTGGATCGGAGAGCCGCCGCACCGTTGGAGGGACAGATGAAAACATCAGGAAAGAAGAGGTAGATCGGATTAAGAAACCTCATTTAAGGTAAGTGCTAACATTAACATTGGGGGTAAGGAAAAAAATTTTTTACTTTAATGTCACTTTAATGTCACAAAAAATGTTGTTAAGCTTTTTCATCACTTTGCCTTTAATGTGTAAAGACAGATGTGCCTGGAAGGACATTTACTTTTTAGTATTGCTCTGAAAACTATCAATTTGAATTGACTTTTGTGGTTCAAAAGGAACTCTGGGCAGATATAAATGGATAAGGGCCTATTCACACTAAAACAGGTAAAACAACAGTGTTACTGCAATATATACGTTTCAGTGCATTATGGTGGCGTTAATTTTAAATGGCACACAACGCATCTATAGAAGGCAGGAGCATTACAGCGCACCACATAATGAGGCGAGTAAAAGCCATTTATTTTTAATGGGCTTTCTAAACCAAAGCAGCTCTGTGCACAAGAAAAGAGTTCTGGTGTAGGAGGGTCCATAATGCAGCTCTGTATTTATTAATACAGGCTTTAGTTATTTTACTTGATGCAAGCAGTGGAAGTACCTGAATTGGGCCTTCTATCAGCTTCTCGCAGAGACGGAGAAACTGCACAAACAGCCAGTCAGTTGTGCTGCAGTGCTCATGTGCTAAAAAGAAACATGCTGGTGGGAGGTGAGTGCAGTGTGACAGATATATGCTTATCATTGTCTTGCTTCTCTTTTTACTGCCCAGTCAAAGGATGGGGGCAGGAAAAGAACTGTCAGTGTCTTATAACAGCAGCAGAGGAAGAGGATAGAACAGAACTGTGCTGTGTGGCAAACTGTAAATCTCAGGAATGGAGAGACAGAATTACAAATCAATTGGCAGATAAAAATAGGTCACATATGTGAATTTTATCTGTGTAATTAGCAATTTGCCTGGAGTTTAGCTTTAATTATACTAGATCTCATGTCTCCTCTCAGACACTGACTAAAGAACTGCCTACATTTCCTCCTAGCAGCCAGTTATTTCCCTCTCCTGTTGATTGGGCAGGTAAAAAATGTGATGGAAAAGTGGATCGGTTGTGGAGTTCTTCAGTCAAATACTTCATACACAAGATCTATTTATAGGAATAAATGACCATGCCATATGTTATTAAAGGGACGGAGTAGAGAAAGGATTATGGAAAATAGGGTTAAGATATGACTTTCCCTTTAAGCTAAAGCATGGATACTTACTTAGCAAACTTGATACAGAACTGTGTGAAGTACTTTCTGGTGGATGCTAGGTTATCTCGAATAATGGGAACATTCTGCTTGATGTGTAGAATGATTGATGTAACATATGGGCTTTGATCCCCAACATGTTCCACATTTTGCCACTGCATCTATAAATGGATCGTAACAAAAGATTAATAACAGTAAATTAAATATAAAACACCCATCAAGGTTTACAGTGGAACCAACAGTTAAAAGATGCAGTTAGAGATGAAAATCAGAGAACAGAGCATTAAAGGATAGAAACAGTAGTGGGATCAAAGTTGAACAACTTGCCACAAATGTAGTTCATTAAATTATTCTTGACAACAAATTTCTGTAATGGTTTTCAAACCAACATATGTAGAGATCAAAAGTGATCAAAAGTAAGGAAAAAAGGCCATAGAGGTTAAAGAGGCCCTGTTACCAAAATTGCAGGTAAACGCACAGAAAAATCTTTAAATGCTTGCTTGCAGTGGTTTTCCTTTCCATAAACTATTTTATTGATTGCAATGTGCCTCTGAACTTGCTACAGTACCAACACTCCAGAAAGGGTCAGTTCCCTGGCACAGCCCCCTCCCTAACCCTTTTGCTGCAAACGACACCTCCTCACCCCTCCCAAAACCCCTCGCCTCTCTTCTCGGGTTCTGCTGCCCCTCCTGCAGTCCCAGGACCGGCATCATGAGTGTTGGAGGGTAGCAGGGAGAGAGACGTGCAAACGTCTATTCACTGATCTCTTCCAGCTGAATGAAATTGGAAGCAATGCATCACTTCTTGTCTGTGAGCTGTCATTCCTCGGCTTCTCTACGATTTGTGCTTGATCAGCTTCAATGGACTGCAAGGATGACATTAGGGGTATAATAGGTCTGTTGTTAATATTATTCATTTATTTTTATGATAGGTACTGACATTAATTTTGTTCTATAAAAAAAAAAGCAGGTTAAAAAAAAAATCATCTGTTCTGGGTGTCAAAAACTCTAGGTATGCCACAGTCTTTATTTTGTTATTTAAATATTCCTAAGCCTTACTGATGTACGAAAACCTGTAGGTATAATGTTTTTTAGCTAGGGTCCCCCGAGGCCTGAAAATTATTTCAAGGGTTCCTCTGGGGCAAAAAGGTTGAGAAGACTGCTATAGAGTGTCACTTGAGTGACAGCTTTGAGCCTGCAGACATCACATTAAAGATGGCGGCACCCAGAAGCAGTCTCTGGTTTTGGATATCTACACAGTGGTCAATCCCTCAACTAATATTAATGTGACTGACTCAGTAGCTCTATCCCCAAGCAATTTACTCCATCCAGACACATTAACTTGGGTTAGTTCTCATGGTTAGCACAATTTTTAGTTCTCAGAAATGCTTTGGTAATCATAGGCTGAGGGTAATGCTTTTCTCAGATTTGTTCCTAAAACGGAGTGGTAGTTTAGAGGAGTAGTTTACAAAGTAAATACCAACAGGAGGTAGGTATCCATCTCCAATACCCATAGATTAACTCAGTTGTTTATTGTTCACAGAATTTATCATACCCCTGAGTTCCCTTTTAAAATCGGTTTCAGAGCAGATTCTAACTGCCCAAAATGTCACTTTCTTCAGGGAACGATGGTTCACCTGTTATGGAGATGCCCCAAATTAGTTCGCTACTGGTATAAGGTGCCATCCACTCGATACTGTTTTTGCAGTTTATCTAACTCCCCTCAAACTTGTATATTGGGTGGCGTCGATAACTCCGATCTTGACTCGCACACAATGACCGCACCTAAACGTGCTCTTTTTACAGCTACTAGATTCATGGTACATAAATGGGTCTCTTCGTCCCCACCTACATCGAAAGCTTGGTTACAGGAACTAGACAAAATTGTCAAGTTTGAACGCTTTTTCCACCAATCTAGGGTAATTTATAAAAAAAAATTGGTTATGGTACAGATGGTGGTCTTACCATGCAAATGTCTTCACTGGTTGACATGCTGGCTTTTTGCCTTGATCTGTATTTGTATTTCCATTTTTGTATGGTTACTTTATCTGTGGTTTTTTTTGTCCACACTACGTGTGACATTACTGTTACTGTGCAGGTTACAAATATACCTTCTATATGGTCATGTTGACCGCTATTTTCTGTTCTTTCTTGTATTTTGTTTTTTCTTGTGGAAAATACAATAAAAAAAAAAATCTGATTTAAAAAAAAAAAAACAGGAGGTCAAGAATAGGAACAGTGGAAGCTCAAGTTGTAACATTTTGAAAGGGATAATCAGGGAGGCAGTAATTTCTAATCTCTGAATGCTAGTTCCCTGGCTGTTATTTTATTGCCTTGGCTTCAATGCTGTCTGAGTCACAGACCTGGAACAATAAAATAAGGAGCTCTGACACTTTTCTAACACTCCCTTATTGCATGCTTGTTCCAGTTCTGTGATTCAAAAGTACTTAAAGGAGAATTATGAGGTGAGTGATTTTCACTCAGCCTCATAAGTTGAGCCGACCTGTGACAATGAAGCTGTCAAAGGTCGGCTCAGTAGATCGGGAAGTGAGCGAACACATACCGTCGCTCGCTCACTTCTCGATCTATACCTGCAGAGAGCCGTGACTGTCACTCACGGCTCCCTGCAGGGATTTCACAGCTCCCCTGTCCGATCCTCCAGCGCTGACTGGCGAAATGGACGGGGGCGGGCACAGCTGGCTCTGCCTTTGGATAGGCAGAGCCACACTGTCAATCCCGCAGCTGGGTGGATCCAGACAGAATTGTCAGGATCCGTCCTGGCTGCAGCGGCTCAGTATACCGCGAGCTGTAGCTCGAGCTTTGGGTCACGGGAGAACGCTAGTTTGTGTTCTCCCGTGACCCTTAGGAGAACTATGGGGAAAAGTCCTGACCTCATAGTTCTCCTTTAAGTGAGAACCAGCCAGGCAACTACAACTTTCAAAAGGAAACTGAGATCCCCTGTACTTCCCTCATGACGTTTTGTACCAGTAATGTTACTTGTCCACATTATGGGTGATGGGCAGGTTCAGGATATACTGTATATGGCTTTAACTATGATCCACCTTCCATATAGGGGTAATCCACTCAATAATCAAATTAATCTAATTTATTAGATTAATGTAATTAAATGTTAGGAGTTACAATCCATTCAAATACATTGTTTAAGCATTAAATGTTAAGAGTTACAACCCAGTCATATTTACATGAAGGGGGGACTCTTCCCCTTCCTCTCCTAACACTGAAGGGAACATGTTATTTGGCCTCACAGACCACAGGTGCTCATCTCTTTTGAATGGATGTTGGCCATGCAGATAGATGGCACTAGGGCGCTGCTAAGTCTGTAAGGCTAGTAACTGACCAGAATTTGAATAATGCAGTACTAGTAAACAGAGTGCATCCTGTCCAAGCACGGAGAAAAAGTGGCAATCAGCCCCATTACATGTTTAAAAATAGCAAATCTAGAATTAAATATTCATCAAGCAGCCACTTAGAAGAGGCGATGAAGCAAGATAACATTAACCGTAAATAATTTCAGGCCTCTGCAGCACAAAAGGATTATTTACTGTGTCAGTGATTACAACACCACAATTTATGTCACTTTCCTTTCCAATTTTCTTCACACCAAAATGCTTTTTTTAACTGAATAATGTGGTTGGAAAATAGCAGTGTAGCTAAAATCCAGTTTATCATCATTTTCTACTGCTTACAGAAGAAGCAGCATGAAAATCCATTAAGGGAAAGCAGAACTTTGCTGTGGCTGTTTTGCCCGTGTCAGAATACATTCTCTCATCAGGCCTCAAATGATCTCCCCCTTGTGTTTTGCTTGGGTACATTCCAGATGGTCTTCAAATGGATATAACTAACATCTATAACAAGAAGTCAGCAACTGCAATTGCTACCTGCTGATTGCAATTTGTCTCCACAAATGTAGCTTTCTGCTTTAGCAGAGACTAATACACAGGGTGGTGTTATCCAAGGGGCAGAATGGGCAGTTGCCTCAAATCCCACCATTATAAGGAGGCCTACCACAGCACTTCTGTGATCTTGCGATCTCTGTGATCTCCAAATGTACAATTATTAAAGTGTTAAGCAGATAAATTAAAGGAGTGATCGGGCTGCAAAAAAGTATGGGGCGAAAGACAACAAGAGAATGAGATCCTATATCCACACTCTTTCTCCTTTTATAAACTTTGAAACTGGCGGGTGGTGGTGAGCTGGAGCTTGGTGCGAACACAGTTCACCTTAATTTTTCCCAAACCCATTCAAAATTGTGACTGACACCCCCCTCCCTCCTGGTCCAATCAGTGACAGCAAATGTGACAGGGGCATTCCCCGACCATTTGTCATGTCTGGTTGTGGTGCAGGAAATGCACCTGCCACAATTGAGTGGGCTGGGTAGGAGGTGGACATTGGGTTGGGGGACAGTTTTGAGCAGACTTTGTGTGGTCTCATGTGAACTGGGTTTGAGCCAATCCCCAGCTCATCACAACTGACAGACAGGAGTCAGACTCCACTTGGATCTTCAGACGCTCTGTACCACCCGTCACACTAAAGTAATGTCTGTCTGTGGATCACTGTAAGAATTATCTATGGCTCACAGGTGAAAAGTGGAGGAAAAATGTAGACAGTAAGGGCTGCTTTAGAACTGAAAAAATATCAGCCACCGACTGGCAAAACCTTAGACTGGCACAAAAAAAAAAAAAACTAGAAGAGTTTCTGTTTTAGTAATATTGAAAGCTAAATCAGGCCATGCACTTGTAGTTTTTTTTTTCTCAATTCCACCTAAACATTGTGGATGGGGGAATCTCTCCTGCTGGGCTGTTGTATTCTGACAGCCGGCACCCCAGCAGTCAGGATACCTGAAGAATGACTGCAACAGTCACAGTTTTCAGATTACAAGAGCAGCATGATAAATGGTCACCCCTTTTGCATAAAACAACCTTTTCGGAAACCATCCAATCTTTTCTCAAGAAAGGACCAAAGACGACTAAAAAAATTGTTCTATGGAAATGACGTTTATGTTTATCACACTGCTCTTGTGAACAAGTTCATGCTTGTACCGCTGGCAGGCAATTTGTGTTCTGCTTAGACTTCAGAAAAATACTTTATATACTTGATTTGAAGTGGAACTAAAGTACTGCATTTTGCACATCTATACAAGACTTTGCTAGGTAATGTCACTCGCATAACATTACCAGAGTCATGAGCTTCTAACAACATTTTCTCAGTGCGGTACCCTACAGCAACAGGCACAATGGACAAATCAGCTTCTTAAAGTGGGGTCACATTTATAAAATTGCAGTATATGGAAGTGTAGACTGTCTATCTACTTCCATAGTAAACACTGACAATATAGCATTCAGATTCAGCATACAGGAAAGCTTATATTCCGAGTGCCTTTCCTTTCTGTGGACCCTAGTTCATGCTAATATACCCAGCTGTGCTGGTAACCTGGTGTTAACCCCAATTATGAAAGCCATAACTGTGTAAAATAGAAAAAAAGGAGTGGTGATATATAGCTTAACGTGGGCTTCCACTGTATTTATGCACTCCCCAAAATCAAATCATTCTTACTATGCACACTCGTTTATGAAGAAAGTTAGTAGGGGTGTGCACTCTTGCTTGTTAATTTGTATTAATAGGGGTGTGCACTCTTGCTTTATAACAGTGTATTTCTCAGGAAGGTAAGTAGCACTGAGCAAACTTGCAAGGCCTTCCAATCCTAGCAACTTACAATGAAAAGAAAAAAACTCTGTTAAACCTGCCTGCAAGGAATCATGAGCATTGTATATGAAACTGAAATAAAAGGTAAATGCTACATGTGATCTTGATAATATACGCAGGTTATAAATCATTTGCTTGTTCCCTGGGATCACTCTAAGAACAGTACTGCTAACTAAATAATGTCCAATGCGTTGCATAAAGAGGTAAAATAAGCAAAAGAAAATCATGTTTATTTCCATAATTATAACGTTTATAATAAGTTTATTTCCAATTGACGCTATGGTATTGCAAACAGAACTAAAAGGCATGCAAGAAAAATGCTCTGCAGATAGGGGAACCAAGTTAAGGCCGCTACAATATCGAGACAGGAAATAAGTCTGCCAGAAACGTTGGTAGCCTAGTTAATCCACCCACATTCTATCCAGAACGAAATATAAAGATTTAAGTTAAATACTTTAATCAGCAAACATGCCTTAAGACAGCAGTTTTAAAAAACTTAGCCTTTGTCACTCTGAAGTATAATGAAACTTACTAAACCTAGGTAACAAGGGCAAATAAACCACAAATGTCCATACCTTGCTCATTGCAGTAAGTGCAGGATCACAAGCAGAATCTAAATCTTGCACAAGCAGCTGGATACTATTAGAAATTACACTGGAAAAAACACAAACACATTCAATGTATGTAGACCCATGTTTATATGATGGCAGTAAAAATACATTAATTTACATATATCTTTATCAGATTATGGCACATGAATCACTAAAGGTGCCCATACACTGCACGATTCTCGTACGAGAATCGCGAGAAATCCCGTGATCGTACAAGAATCGTGCAGTGTATGGAAGGATTTTTTAAGTACTTTACAACCATAAGGCTAAAAAATAGTGATTTGATCGTGTCGGACATCATGTGACCCATCAGTACTTTCACTATTCATTAAACAGTTATTGTGAGAGAATGAGCCACACAAAAAGAGAGTAGCTAAAAAAGACACAAATGCAGAGCTGGTGTTTAGCTATAGTAAATGTTTTTTCATTTTGTTGAACCAAACAAAAGCACACAATTGCAGAATTAGGATGGAATTTGAAATATAAATGGACACTTACATTGTACACTAAAAGACACATTCAACAATGCCTTTATATGCATGGCAACGATTGGTTGAAAATTTGTATCCATCAAGAAATAGATGATGATTTAGGGCCATAAGTGTTTTCCTACTATTTTGTGCTTAATAATGCTTCATGAAGAACTTATATGTTTGTAAATTTCTAGGGAGTAAAATAAGATTTTTATACTTACTGAAAAATCTTTTTCTTGGAGTCCATTGAAGGACACAAGAACTTAGACCAGTTAGAACAGTCAGGTTATACTGACACCTTCAGGAGGCTGGGACACCATCAAAGAGAAAAGTTATAACCAGCCCCTGAATAACCCCTCCTGAAAACAGCGTGCCTCAGTTTTGTGAGAAAGCAATACAAAGAAGGAGGACCTTTCTCCAGTTGATCAGGCCTCGAGAAGGTCTCCAGACGTACCCTACCAGTATACCTGCAGCAGGAACCTAACGTGTGTTGACTGTTGACAATACAGGGGGAACAAAAGACCTCCCAGTGATGGAGTTAAGGCTACTGGTTGATGAGATCCAAATATTAATGCAATGTCTCTAAAAAAAAAAAAAAAGAAGAGAGAGGGCGGACAAGAATAGCACTCTCCGCCTCGTCCAGCATAAGGCCACTTGTCCAGTCACATGAAGAACTCCCAAACCTTTCCTGAAGTCAAAGTCCTATAACAGCCTTAACCCTTGTTGCAGTAAAAACAGAAATGGTGGAAAAATTGAACAGGCGCCCATCATTGCAAATGGTAAAGTAGCTCCCGGTGCTTCAGCCCAACGAGCCTTATTACCTGAACCTTCACAGAGAGGGTATCACCTGGGTTTGTGCCACAGCTCTGGATTTGGGAAGCACCCCACAGCTAACACATCACACTCAGGTCTGGAAAGCTCATAATGCAGAGACCAGTGCAGGAAGGTCACATTCTAGGCTAGCCCTGCACGAAGTCTAGGTGGCTGAGGAAACGTCAATCCAGATAGCTACTATGAAAAGGCCAGCAAAAACAGTGATGTAGTGAGGAATCTTGACTGAAGTCACCAAGGCAAAAAGCATGGAAGGCTAGCAAAAAACAGACATTTTTTAGCAGAGCTGAAGAAAATGTGTTCACCCTCCTAGGAGACTAGCAAAAAACTGAGGCATGCTGGTTAGAGGAAGGTCCATACTGGTAATTATCTGAATACTGTATTGTTAATAGTCAGGAGTTATTTGCACCACTAGGTCTTCCAAATTTCAAACAGTTTTTATGTATAGTGTGTAAATTGTATGTACACAGGGCAGACATATTTGCATACAAATACAGGATAAGCCTCCTGACAGTAATTGACTGCTGTGTGCTAACCTTTTGTTCACAGGAAAACAGCATGCAAATGAGTGTGCTTTGCATGAAATGAAGCATTGGTGGTCCTATAGTGATCAATAATATGTTACAGCCTCAGTAAAATATATCTAATGCAGAGAGAATCGGTGCAAGCTTACGTGCTGAAAGTATCCATCTCTGTTGTCAGGTTTATCCTCTCTGTCAGTGTCACATCTACTTTTTCTTTTAGCTTCTCTTCCAGCTATTAAATGGGGAAGAATAATGATTTTGATTAATATAAAAAGGCAAATATTCTGAAAGTTAAAACATTAATATTTTATATCACATGTTATTTTCCATTAAATTTTCTATAAAACCTTCATTAACATCAAAAAAGGGGTGCATCTACGACACTCAGTTTGCAAAGCTTGCTGGCTTTTCGAAAAAGAAAGCCCAGCATTGCCAGTGAGCTTGAAGGAACTCTGGGTTGGGAGCAGTCAGTAAGGAAGAGTCGAGGCAAACCGCTAAATAAAAAGTTGAAAACGTCGATGTTTATGGGTTTACCTGCCAAAGATTTTGTAATTTTGTGATCCTATGAATTACACACATTTGCCACACTGCACAGTCAGAAAGATCAGCCTATGACCCTATGTGGTTAAGTTTTACTGCTTACTGCCTCCCTAACAGTCCAGTGGCTCGAAACATTCTAGCAGCTGTGAAATGAAGATATAGGAAGCTGCAATGTTGAACCAAGAAAAAAAAATGTTCCACCTGTCCGTTGTCGGTTGTACAAAATTACAAGTCCTTTGACAAGTAAAACTTTAACAAATGTACTGTACAGAGTTTTATTTTAAAGTATATATTAACCCAGTAACTAAAATATTATTCAAGCTTTAACATGTTAATGTAATTTCAAAGTAATTTATAATATTTTTAAATCTGCAGCTTTCATTAAAACAACTCATACCACTATAAGGGTCCTTGTTTAGGCACTTCCTCTTATAAGGTTACAACACTTTATCTTAGTCTGAGAAATGCCATGCAGTGAGTGGTTGCAAAGAGGCTATAGAAGATCAGCAGCACTAGTATGTCACAAAGGATTTTAAAAAAAGGTGAATACAGTATATTTAAAAGAAATGAGAATTGTTTCTATACACATAGCTTTAGCAAACTCAAACTGTAATTCAGTTATGGTTAACATCTACTTTAAGGGCCTGTTCACATGATTTTCAGGTCCTGATCAGGTCCGGATCTGCAGACGTGGTGCTACTCATGCAGTGCGTTTTTGCCGCGTATGCTGACAGTTTCTTTTTTGTTTTTTTTCAAGCCGTGGGGCTGTCAGTATGCAGATTCTTCCTATGAGGTCTACTCCAACCTGTCTCCCACTCTGTCTGTTTATGTAGAATAAAAAATTTTTTGCTTAGCTGCATTGTGTTCCGTTTCCATCGCGTTTTTGCTGCGTTCGTGCGTTTCCTGACCGGACAAAATGTGACATGCAGTATTTTTTCTGTCGTAACCTGAACGGACTGCGCACGTGAGAGCTGTAGCCCATAAAACACATAGGGATACATTTTTAGTGCAGGAGCGTACAGATCAGGTCAGCACAGAAAACGGATGTCGTGTGAGCAGGCCCTAAGGGCTCATTCACAACACTTCACTTGAGCTGCACAGATCAAAGCAGGCTTAACGGTAGGGCATGCAGAAAACAATTGTTTTCTGTGTGCCCTGTTTACACCACATCACCTTGAGGTGGGTTGCGTAAAAATGAAGACATGCTGCATTTTTCCGCAGGTCACCTGAAGTCACCCTCTGTCATGTCCACTGTGATAAATAGAAATTAATTAAATGTAATTTAGTTACATTATGAGTTAAAACAATTTAAACAAAAAGGTAATGTGTTAAACATTGCCTTTAGTTTTAACAACTCGAGGTCCAACCCCCTAATGCCTATACTCAACAGACACCAGCCCGCATGCTAAAATGGCTCCTTTTAGCATGCAGGCTGGTTTGAACAAGCCCTACATCTGCTATGAGTGTGTTTGTCCTGTATGAGCCAGATTGTATTGTGTGCAATCTGATTTCAAATGCTTCTGAGACCTTTTTAAAGTGGCATGCTACCCATGAATGTGATTATAATTAAAAGGTGGACCATGGTAGGCGTGGTAGGCCTGTCTTCTACAACCTAACAGCAAGATCTCCCTGACATAATTTATGACTCTGTTGCTATACACCTGAGATTTCTGGGTGTTTAGATCAATCCATAAGTGTTATGGTTCCTCCTGTTGCATTCTCTGTAATGTAAAATATATAAAAGCATCCAACAGATAGACTGAGAATCACTTAAAATGTCCAGCTCAAGCATGGACATCAAGATCAATAAAGTCCACGAGAGATGTAATAAACTACCGCATGGCTTTACGTTCCTGTATTTATCAAACACTGGAATATGAGTTTTGTGTGTAATAGCCTTTTATCAGTAGCCTGAAGAGTGCTGTTTCTCTTGCTTAGACTTTTTTCACCTGCTGCAAGTGGTAAATACAAATTATATGTTCAATTTTGTATTCATCCGATTAAAAATATAAAATTTCTTAGCAATAAACAATATACATAGAAAGACAATATACATAGAAAGAAGACATTTTAAAAAGCTATCCCCTTCCTTTGACTGAAATGCAGAATGAAAGAAAGGATCTGAATATGGCAAAAGGTTAAACCAACTTTCTATGTAAATTAAAATCTGCTACTCACTTGCTGTGTTGTAGCCAGGCAGTACTCTGCTGTACTCAGTATACTGCATATCAGACACAGCTCTTCAGTGGTGAATTTGGCAACTTCTGAACCTTCCTTTTCCTTCAGAAGACTGGTGATTGTAAGGCCTGTGCTGCTGCTACTGGTTCTGAACAAACAAAAATAAAATATGAAATAGATAAATATGTCAATCATAAAACGGGCAATATTAAACCAAACAGTAAGCTACTAATGCATTCCAGCACAGTGCAAAAAGTTATTTTAATTTACAGTTATAAAAGTTCTTGGTGCTGTCGCCAAGGCGCACACACAGACCACCTCACAGGGTGAAAAGGAGGGCAATTCCTTCCTGTGCTATGTAGCTTCCGACATCCCTAACCACATTCAGACTTCCAAGGCAGAGCTGAGTGTGACTGGTGGATGTGAACCCACCTTATACAGCAAGAAAGGTGCTCCAGCATCACAGACAGGTCGGTTCCATGATCACCTAATTACTGAAAAAAGGTCTGACATGGACTAATGCATTAGAGCAATGTTTGGCCATACGATGCAGAGTACAAACTCTCTGGACTTGGCTCAGGAGATTCTGATAATCAGCTCTGAAACATATTTGGTGATCTCTCACTGGATCGGGGACAGGTGAGGTGGAAGCCGAACTCCAGCCTTCATTCTTTGCAACTCTTCTGCATTAACCAGACTGCATCAAATACATGCTCGATACTTAGAACCCTATCACTGCTGTACTGAAATCTCATGTATAACGTTTTTTTCGTGTCATTTTATTTTTAATAAGCTAAAGGTTAATAACCAAAGTTCAATATTGCAGAGCAACCAATAGGATATAAACTTTATATACTGATCTCAGTATACCCAACTACTGAAAACTAAAATCTTTTTAGCTACCACATAACAGTGCACACCTATGCTGTATGAATTATGCAATTAAACAGGTGTGTGCTATTTGTCGTGTTTTAAATATTAAATTACAGTAAAACACTGACAATCTGATTAGCAAAAGTATATAACCGAAGAATGAAAAGAGAGAGAGAGATTCATTAAGCAATTATATATGTATTGTCTGCACTGTATTAGCAGTATATACTCTATATGGAGTATATACTGCTAATACAGTGCAGACAATACATTTACAATTATACTAACATGAATGTATTAAATGATCTGTATGTAGCCCTGTACTATGGATCATTTAACCCATTCATGTTAGCAGAGGATCATTGTAAATGTATTGTTGCAGGCACTCTATATGTACATGTACTATATACTACATATAGAGTGCACTGAACAATAGATTTACAATTATCCTCTGCTAATATGAATGGGTTAAATGATCCGTAGTACATGATATGTAGCCCTGTACCCCCTTTTCCACTTACAGAGCTAGGTTATTTTTCTTTTAAATAAATATTCATGTAATTTTATTGGTATCTATCTACCAGTAGCTGCCTCATTTCCCACCCTCGGCTTATATTCGGGTCAATACTTTTTCCCAGTTTTTTTTGGTAAAATTAGGTACCTCGGCTTATATTCGGGACGGCTTATACTCGAGTATATACGGTACACATGATAGGGGGTGCAGTCTGCTGAGAATCATACACTTCATAAATGATCATTGCCTGGATTTGCCTAATTTTTTTTACAATCAGACAAATCTACTGTAGTTGATCAAAAACTAATAGATCTACGATTCCTCTGATTTGACAATTACTAGTTGCATAGCCTATATTTTGCTTTATTAGAAACAAAAGCTAGGCAGCAGTATCCAAAGCACAGGTCCCTTTCTATCATGAGATGTGAAAACTAAAACCTCCAAGATTTGCTTTTTTTTAATCAATACATAGAAGCTGTGTGAACAAGTATACGAGCAGTAAGAACTTCTTTGAAGATAAACAACATTATATATTGCCCTACAGAACACATAAAAGATTACATGAAAAAAAATATAAACCTGTAAAAATCGGAAAGGAGGGGTGTTAAGTGCAAAAGATTTATATATCACTTCACAGGTATGCAGAATGCATGCAGCATCTTTGCCCTGCTCTGAGATCTCCATGCCAGTCCTATAGACCCACACAAGGAATTTCCGAACTTGCAGGGAGATTTTGGTGCAAGAAACGGCAGCTGGAAAAATGGCAGGCATGAGACTTTGAATCTGCAGATATGTGAAATGGAGAGACTTTGTAGGGTTATCAAGATTGTAAACGTGTAAGGCACGAGACATGGATGGTAGACAAACTAAAAAACTAAACAGTAAAAAGTCCTTATAGCAATAGATATTAGGTCATTGGATGTTATTTTACTCCAAAAGGACCCCATGAAATCTGTTTGGCAGATAGCTTACTTTTTAATAAAGCCATCTCATCTATTAGTTTCCTTACATTTTAAATAAGTGACTCTTATTTTTAGAGAAGAAAGAGTATCTTTCAGTCTTTGTATCCAGTGCATATTTGTTTTGGAAGCAGCTGCTAGTATTAAAAGACAAGGAAAGCATAGCCCAGGTATGCCTTTCTCAGTCCGCAAGAAGGAAAATTAGTTTCAGGAGTCTCTCAGCAGAAAGGAATCCACTGGTGTCTTGTTGCAGGCAGAAAAGAAATATACACCTTTCCAAGCAACACAATAATCCTCACATCCCCTCCTCCTCCCTGACAGGAATAAAGATTTATTGGGCTGCAGGGCTACTACTACATTTAGCAACAGACACCATGTGTGCACACAAACAGCAACTCATCTGTAGGAAACCAAGCCGCCAAGATGACTTCCTTACTGTGCTGTACACATGTGGGGAATTTACAAGCCAGCTGAGCAATGAGACATTAATAAGGTGGCACACAGCTAAGCCATTGCTAGTCAAGACATTCACACACCACTGCTAATCTACGGCTTGGTTTCAATTCTCAGACCCCTCCATGTATGAATTCGGAGCATGAAATGAACCAGCTGAACCAGCCTGAATAGGTACAATGACAAATTTTAATGTAAAGAAGACATATCTCCTCTCTTTCACCTAAAAGTTTACCACTGATCCCTCTCCCACTGTACCTTTTTGCTGTTGCTCAAAATTGGGTCAGCAAACGAAACATGGTATTGTCAGCAGTGTGTGATTTAGTATATCACATCTACAACTGCTATTGTGCATTCAAAGGGAGTACAGCAGAATAGGGCTACAAATAGACAGAAGAATCAGGAGTTCACTTTTGTATGGAAACCTTTAACCCCTTCATGACTGAGGCCCTTTTTTCCATTGTTGCACCCATGTTATATTCCACATTTTAGGCCTGAAAATGACGTAAAACCCCCCAACATTATATATTTTCTGAATGCCAAGACCCTATAGAATAAAATGGTGGTAGTTGAAAATTTTTATGTTGCGCAATATTAGCGCAACTCCTTATTAAACCCCAAAATTTAGTGACAAATTTAATTAAATGCCCCAAAACACAACAAATTACCCATTTTTTTAATGACCCAGTTGTAGTAAAATAAAGGGTACTACAAGTCGCACCTAGACAATGGAGAGAAATCTCCTCTTGGTGAACTGGAACTGGACAGATACAGAAGAACAACATCCTGGCTAAGGTGAAAGGCAAAAACTACTTTAGGCAGGGAGGAAGTCCTGGGCCTCAAAACCAGTTTTTCCATATAGGACATGAAGGATACAATCGCTAGTTCAGACACTCAACTTGCAGAGGTAATGGCTACAAGGGCAACTACCTTGTGGTGAGAGCAGAGAACAGAGAACAGAAGGTATCTATTGGGTTCAAAGGGGACTTTCTGAAACACAGAAAGAACCAGATTCAGATCCCACAGTCACAGGAAGCAGATTGGGAGAGCTCCATGGGAGACTCCTTGTGCTTGGGTCTCAATCAAAGAGTGAAAGGCCAATGTCCTCTGAAACAGTAGAGAAAAAAAAACCTGACCCTTGATGGTGCTGGCAGCCAAACTCTGGTTGCGGCCCAGCCGCAGGAGGAAAAGGATGGAGAAACTCCTGGGGTGGAATCTCCAAGGCCCACACCAAGTGAAGTATGCCTTCCATATCCAGTATTGTTGGAATCAGACTTAGAGATGGCCCCTGTCCTTCAGAACCTGGTCTTCAACAGCCATGAAGGTGAAGCCATAGACCATAAAACAGAATGGCAAATCAATCCTAGGAACAAAAGATCCTGATGATCTAGCAAAGCCCATAAACCTTCTACCAGGAGTCTTATCAGGTTGGTGTACTAATACCACAGTCCAGTGTAATAAGCATCACCAAAATGCCCTCCATCTCGATCCCCCAAAGCAGTTTAGGAAAAAGTTTTAGGAGAGGAAAGGCGTAGAACAGGGTGTACCGGTCCAGCAGATCAACCAGAGCATTCACTGCTTCCATTAGAGGATTCCCGTACCTGTAGAAAACCTGTCTAGTTTGTTGTTGAACCTGGAACCCATAAGGTTCATCTCTGGTGTCCCCACCTGCCAAACAGGTCCTAGAACAGGTGTAGAGACCAATGCCCCGAGTCCAGATATTGCTGGATGAGGAAATCTGTCTGCCAATTGTCTACGCCTGGGAAGTGCATAGCTGACAAGGCTGGAAAATGAAGCCCAGCACAGGATCCAATCTACTTCTCTTGCCAAAGTTCTTCCCCAATGGTTGATGTATGCAACTAGATCGGATGACCATCAAGTAGGATAGTCCAATGCTGAAGAGACAGTCAAATCCCCCAAAGTTCCAGGATGTTGACAAGGAGACAAACTCAGACAATGACCAAGTACCCCATCTGTCGCGGGGATCCTCCAAAAGGTGGGAAGTAAGGACTTCCCAGATTCCTGAGCCACCAAGGTAGGAACAACTTAGTACTCAGTAACAGACAAATCTCTCTGTCCAGAGACGGGATGGACTTGGCCTCTGACAACAGAATGTTAAGTGGCTAGAATGAAAAAGGTCAAATGAACTGTTGCGAAAAAGGCCAAATGAACTGTTGCGAAAAAGGCCAAATGAACTGTTGCAAAAGAGGCTACCATCAGACCTGGGACTCTCAAGCAAAAGTGGACGACTCCTGGACTGAACTGTTCAAACCTGAACCAAAGAGTCTGCAGGCTGCCCTGTGGAAGGAACACTCTGGCCTGAGCCGTACCCAAGATTAGACCTAGAAATGTCAAACAATTAGTTGGTTCCAGTTTCTGAAAGATCAGGATCCATCAAAACTACTGTAACATCTGAACAGTTACAGACACAGTTGTCCAACAGAGCCTGTGCCATCTCTTTCCTCAACAGGAGGTTGCCTAAGTATCCCACAATTGGTATGCCATGAGAGTGCAGCAGGGCTAATACTAGGGGCCAGCACCTTGGTTTATAGCCAGGGTACAGGTGGGAGGCCAAAGGGCAGGGCCATGAACTAGTAATGTAGGAGCAACACAGCAAACTGTAGGAATTGCTGATGCACTGGAAATATGGGGATGTGAAAGTAAGCACCCTTGAAGTCCACAGAAGCCAAAAAGTTTACCCTGATGAAGGGAAGCGTGATTACATATTTGGTGGATTCCATGTGGAATTTCTGGACCTAAATCAAAGCATTCAGAGCTTGGGGTAGCAAGGTGGGAGGGGGGCATTTTGGGCTTGAAATCATAAACTGATTGGAGTAACACTCCTGAAACTGTTCTGCCACAGAAACTGGGGCAATGATGCCTTCATTTAAAAGCTACAAACATGGTTTCCTGGCCAGACCATTTAAGTCTAATAAGGGTTTTTAAGGTGCAAGTTTCCAGTCTTTAGTGCTCTCTAAAGAGATAACATGTAGGCAATTTTTTTATTCCATTACTGTAATTATTTTACAAAGAATGGTCTGATTCTTTAGCTAAATCTGAGCATAAGCTACAAATCACAAGTACTAGGGAAGATGAGGTTTAAATGGATCAGATGAACAACTAGGTTTAATAAAACTGGTCCTCTGAAATGTAATGCAATAATGACATACTGTATAGTTGTATGGAAACACTAGATAAAAGGTGAACCCAGGCAAATACAATATCATTTTCTTTGTTGATTTATTCCTGTTGGGTTAGCAGCAAAAAATGGTTGTATTTGCATGTAAAAACTGAAGTTAGCTAAAGATACTTATTGAAACTTATTGAAGTTAAAGATAAAAAAGATACACTTACTTGGGGAGATTACCAGAGAGAGTTTTCAAGGCATATTCCCGCAGGTACTTCTGGAATATAGTGGTAAGGGCAATCATTGGCTCTCCTGTGCTAAGCTGGGAACACTGTACCATGCACTTTTTGTAGTACACAAATAGGTCTGCACAGCTTGGTAACACAGCTCCAGCATCCTCTGAAGTAGACTTTGGTGGACCTTGGGCCTTGAAATCCCCAGCAAACCTGTCAATTAACTCACCAAGGTTCCTACATAAAAAAAGTGCCACAATTTAGTTGACTGTAAACACAATACAACAAGTATAAAAAGCGAACTTAATTATGGTGTCCAAATAACATATCTAGGAAAACAAAGCTGAACTTCTGTGAATAAAAAAACTTTACCTTTGGGAGCAGGCCCCAGCCACACTGCAAGCTCCAACTGCTTGTTTTGCCGAGGGGATGATGAAGTAAAATACTTACATTATTCATTGCTCCTCTAGCAGCCGATACTCTTCCATCCTCTGGAACTCTTTACTCCAACCTGTCCGACTATCTCCAACTCTGATTGCCTTTAGGCGATACTTAAGACTCATCTCTTCAGGGAAGCCTATCCCACCTCAAACTAACCACTCATCCATCACATTCTCAAACAATTCATCCTTGGTTGAGGTGAAAGGCAAAAACTAACTTAAGTCCTGGACCTAAACACTCTGGTTTCCCTCTATAAAACCTGGAAAAAGAGTTCTTTGCAGAATAAGGCCACCAGCTCAGACACTCGCCTTGTAGAAGTGAAATCTTCAAGAATCACAACCTTGTGGGTGACAGAGAAAACAATGTCACTAGAGAGAGAAGCAGATTCAGATCCCACGGAGTTACTGGGGAACATATAGGGGTGCTACATGGAAACCCATCTGTAGAAAGGTCTGACAGGGTGAGAGGTGAACGGTCCTTGAAACAGATTAAAAAATGGCAGAAATCTGACCCCAGATAGTGCCGAAAGCCAAGCACTGGTTCCGACCCAGCTGGAAGAAGGAGAGGACCCATCCCATAGAGAAACTCCTGCGGTGTAAGCCCCGAAAGCACACCAAGGCAATCCTGTTTTCTATGTTGATGATAGACCATGCAAGAAGCAGACTTCCTACCTGGGCTTCAACAGCCATGCCATTAAAGCCAGTGAGTGTGAAGCAGGATGGGAGATAAGTCCTTGGGACAGAAGATCCTCACGACTTAGCAGTGCCCACAGAATGTCTACCAGGATTCTTACCAGGTCAGTGTACCACATGAGCTAGCCTGGAGCAATGAAGATTGCCAATAAAGATGTTACAGGGGAGGAAAGGCATAGATCAAGCTCCACCACAGCACTCACTGCTTCCGCTAGGGAATCTATGTACCTGAATACAAGCCTGTCCAGTTTGTTGTTGAACCTGGAACTCAGGATGTTTACTGCTAATGTCCCCAACCTGCAGCAAAGGCCCTAGAACAGCTCTGCGTATAGGGACTCCTCCCCATGGCTTTAGGTGCTGCTGGTTGAGGAAATCTGCCTGCCAATTGTCTACACTTGGGATGTAGAGGAGTGGCAAGGCATGGAGTTCTGCCCAGGCCAGGATTCAATCTACCTCTCTGTTCAAGAAAAGACTTATGGTTCTTCTTAACTGATGTTTCTTGATTTATGCCACATCTGTGGGTGTTGTCTGACTGAATCCAGCTATGACCCTCCAGATGGATGGGTCCAGGACTAGACCAAGGTATTCCAAACAATGAGCCAGTTTCAGCAATGATTTCTGAAGGCTCAGGATCTATCAAAACTATTGTAATGTCTTAGCAGTTAAGATACATTCTCCAACAGAGCCTGCACCAACTGTTCCCTCAACAGGAGGTCTTCTAAGTATTTCAAAATGGGGATGCCACGAGAGCTCAGCAGGCCCATTACTAGTGCCAGCGCCTTGGTGAATATCCAAGGGGCAGAAGAGGGGGTGAAGGGCAGACCCATGAACTGGTAGTGTAGGGCACCACAACAAAGTGAAGGAATCGCTGCTGCGCTGGAAAAATGAGGACATGAAGGTAAGCATCCTTTATGTCACCAGAAGCCAGAAATGTTCCCTGGTAAAGAGTGAAAGGAGGTAATGACACATTTGCTGAATTTCATGTGCAAAACAACCCGAATGAACTTTGAAAGTTTTAAACGACCAAGCTTGGGTGCATGCCCCCTTTGAGTTTGGGAACGGTGAACAGGTTGGAATAAAACCCCTGAAACCATTCTGCCACAGGAACTGGGGCAATAACACCTTCATCCAGAAGACCTGAGGGGGCTTAGTGAAGATCTGCTAATCTGTGCAAATGACACAGGAAGATTGAAGGCAGGAAAATGAGAAAGGGGCAAGAAGCAAAACTTCAGTTTATATACCTGGGATACCACCTTCTGCACCAAAGCATTTGAGGTGCAAGCTGTCCAAGCATCTACAAAGTTTAACAAAAGTCCAGAAAGTGGGGGCACACCTTCATGCACAAGAAGGTTTGTCTGATGATTTCACTTAGAATGCCAGACCTTGAAAGTGGACTGGGAGTTGGGGGTCTTGATGTGGAGATATAAAAGCGATTCATTTCTAACAGTCATAGAAGGAGAAAACTCTGCAGTCTGTTCCTTAGTCCTCTTCTGCTGAGGAAAATTGGTGCTCTTGCCACACGGACCATCCTTGATAATCATTTTTAAAAAAAGAGTTCTGAAGAGACATAGGGGGAATTTATCAAAACTGCAGCAGACAGAATCTGGAGCACTTGACCATAGTAACCAATCAACTTCTCTCTTTAATTTTCAAATCTTAACTGCACAAACGGAATAAATAAGATGATTGGTTGCTATGGGCAACTGCTCCAGATTCTGTTTGCTCCAGTTTTGATAAATGTCCCCCATTGTCCTTTAAAGGCCATGCAAATCAAATCCGAGACTGAAAGGACCGGTTAACTTTTTAGGACGCTTCTAATCTGCAAAAACAGATGGAAACGTCTTTGTGGCCTTAGGAGTTTTAAATGACCAAAGGCTGGGTAGAGAACTGATAGAAGCAGCAGGCTGAATTTCTAGTTTCAGAGTCTGAGTGCCCCAAAAAATGAGGCATGCTGGTAGCAGAAGGGTTTATCGTGAGCTGGTCTACAGTTTTTTTGTTTGCCAGGATTTAAGCCTCCTGTTGGCAGCAGTATAACCCAAAGGTTAAAGACTTCCTTTGTCCCTCAATGCATGAGAAATAAAAAAAAAAAAAAATAACAGCCCAAAGAAAGAAACAGCTCACATGTCTTATGTATGAGAGAATTAGTTTATTATAAAAACATTCAAACAGTCATTGAAAAGACCAATGTTTCAGATCTTTGCCTTGATAAAGGGAAAGCTTTTCTTTTCAGTGGCTATTATATTTTTTTCAATAAACCAAGGAAGGTATGAAAAAAGAGGAAGATGCAAAACTAACTAAAACAGAGTAAAGAGCAAAATATACAAAGCCACTGAAGTCGGCAATACTCAAAATATATCTTATATTTAGTAATCTTCTTGATTTTCTGGTCAAATTGAACAGTCTAGCAAGGTTTTCTCTATCTTTTCAAAACCCTCAAATCAATAAAAGATGAAAACTATTGGATGATTTGGAAAGTTCTTATCATTTTCAAGACAATCACATGATGTATAGAATATTAGTATGAGGATTATTGTTTACTTTTTCGATACAGAAAGTAGTTGTTTGTGTTACACTAAATTATGGTTTCTAACATCCAATCAATTGAATGAACTTGATAAACTCATGAAAAATTAGTTAAGGGCAGCATAAACCCGAGCAACCAACCCGAAATAAGTTCCTGTTGATTACATTGATTTATGAAAGCTGAAATTCAATTAGCTGCTATGGTTAACTCGCCACCACCAAAAAAACAATTCCACAATCATTGGTGGCCAGTGGCAATTTAAAACCCACCCCTTTAAAAAAAATAATTGATGGTCAGTGGCACTGTAATGCCCCCACCACCTTTCAAAAAAAAGATTCTACACTCAATTGGTCAGTGGCACTTTAGGATGTCAAACTTGGCCTATGATGTTTCGCAATCCTCCTTCCTGTGCCTGGGTTTACAAACATTCAGTTTCTTTCATTGTGAATTGGCTGAATTTTTGTAAACACAATAAAAATAACCACTGTGCCTGTAAGCCTTGTCAACATTTTAACTGCAGACTGCTGAATATATTTAGTTCTTTAACAGATTAACTTTCTGGGAAACTACACTTTCTCTTCTCAAAACCTATATCAAATTCCTTTCAGGTCTAGGGTGCCTGCAAGGGAAACACTATAATGGAAAACATTTTTGATTGAGTGGAAAAAAGGAAAAATAAAAAAACAGAATTTCAATGTAAAGTTAGGACAGGGTGTGTCTGGATTACTAAATGCTGGGATTACAGTGGCTACAGAGGTACAAAGACAGACCCTCAATGATTCTGGCTGCACTTAACTTGCTGTTAAGAATACTTTACTAGGAAACCAGCCACCAAGCAGAGAGGAAGAATAAAAGTAACAGAACACTATGCAGGGTATCTTCAGTAGCATAAATACAGAGCGGCCGCAGATACTTCTGTTTGTTAAAGCAAATCATGTGGTAGCAGCTCAACTCTACATAAAGCACATATACATGTTCAAGAAGTTATTTTACTAGTCAAACAATACAATGGAAAAAAACAGGATCTAGGCAGCTTTGGAAGTGAAATCATTGTTGGTGCCAGATGTGGTGGTTGCAGTATCTTAAAACCTCTTTACATTTTCCCATTACAGTTGCTAGAGTTAACTAAAATTATTATATAGCATTTATATAGTGCCAACAGTTTGTGCAGCTCTTTACAAAATGGAGGGAGACAGTACAGATACAATACAATTTCGAAACAGGAGGGTTAGGAGGGCCCCGCTTGTAAGAGCTTACAATCTAGTAGAAACTAGAAACGTCCTATGGCACTGCCAATGCACCTCAGCACACAAAACAAGAGCACCTGCACCCTTTTAGGCAACACACTGCACCAAAACAAACAGTATTCACAGCTGTGCATTGTGGTACCCTGGTTACAGAGTATTTGCATTGGGGTGTTATTCATGAGTATATACCCATGTGGTAAGGCAGAACTAAATCCTATCTACCAATAATGGTGCCATCTTTAGCTTCTATTTAGATGTCCAGTTGCCATGGTCCTGGGCATGTGACCAGCTAGGTCACCAACCATTTGAGGCTTCAAAGATCACTTGAAAGCTGACAAACACACTGCCAACTGTAACAGTTATCACCAGAGGCATGCCCTGAATGTAGCATATACTGCACATGGAAGAACGTGAATTAAAAAACACTGCAGAAAACACCACTGGTATATTTAATTAAGGATTTGATAACATTTCTAACTTTTCTTTTGAGGAACAGTTATATATTGGTGGGATTAGTTACACTTTAACATGGGTGCTTTAAAATACAGAAACAAACCGTAAAATGTGCGTTGCAGCGGTTTGAATGCATTCTAAAGATCCCTTGTTGAATTATGTCAAGAATTCAGGCTGTTCTGAAGGCAAAATTGACACTATATAATAAAGTATTATATAGGTTCACCTAAAAATAGCCACTGAGTGTAAGAGATATTCCCCAAAAAACGAACAAGTTAATTCACCACCATTAATAACGTCCTTAACCATGGATTAAAGTAAATGATAGTCCCAGGTGATTGGTTGGTGTGACATGAAAATCACAAAGCACTTGTATGGATTTGCTTTGTAGAAAACCGGCACACGAAGAGGATCTACTCGGCACAAACTTTATTACTTGAGGCATTAAAAACAGCAAAGGAAAAAGCAAACGCGTTTCAGCCCTATACATGGCTCTTAATTAAGGCCCATGTATTGGACTGAAATGCGTCAGCTTTGGTTTGCTGTTTTTTTTAACGCCTTAAGTAATAAAGTTTGTATTGAGTGGATCCTCTTTGTGTGCCTCTTTTCTACAAAGCACTTCATGGAGTCCGGCAGAGACTGACGCTGAACACTGCAGTTCCAGCCTGATTACCAGGATAGGAGGTTGAGTGGCTTTGATTTGTTTGTCTGTCACTTGTATGGATTTGGATTTATGAATAAGATCACACTTGACTTTCTGGTTCATTACCAGCTGGAAACCTTTTGTTTAACTTTAAAGTGACATTAAACTCATGAGTTAAATCTTAAACATGCATTCAAGTACCTTAACTATTAACAAAAATGTAGCTTATTTGTGTATCACTCAGCTGTAGATCCTCAAATCATCTCTGAATTTATACCGACACTTTCCTTCATTCTGGAGGGTGGTTACTTTTGTTCTCCATAGTTCGTGTGTGTGTTGTAAAATAGCTACCACTCTACAGTAGGCTCACCCCCATGATGGACTGCAAGCTCACGTTTAATTTACTAATTTGTACTGAAGTTATAGTGTATCAGAGGAGTGATTTTGGAGCGGTACACCAGCAATACTAGAATTAAATCTCACTGTGGGATTGGGGGCCAAACAGAGCGCGCAATGTGTGCAACCCCTTAAATTATTATATATGAATTAGTAGCAAGAAAATGTTGAAAGAACAGAAAGGGAGACACCCGACACTTGTCTGTGCTAGTGTCTAAACAATGTTCTACCCCATCTGAAGGAAATAAAAAAATATGTCGTAAAAGCACATGCGAAACCCCCAAAAGTCTCACATCAGAGAACATAAGCCTTCCATGTGCAGTGGTAAATCTTGAAGTGAGTAGATTTATGAGCTTTAGGAATGGGTAGGATAACAGAATCCACAATGTCTCTGTATCTCAGTACCTGGGTTTCAAGAGACAAGTCATCAAAGCCAACAACTAAAAAGCAGGGTGGAAGATCAGTCCTTGGGAGAACAGATCTGGACACGCTAGTAGAGGCCACAGAGCATAAGCTAACAGACGAGCAAGGTTGGCATACCCCACTCTGCTACAGCAATCCATTGCCCTGCATACAACTCTGTCCAGCTTCTAGATGAATCAAGATGCTAGCCGATCTATTATTAACATCCCCCAATGCAGGCATGCCTTGAAACACCTCCTGATGGAGAGACCATTACCCCCCACAGTCCTGATGTTGTATACTGTGGAAATCTACCTTCCAGTTCTGCACCTTGGGAAAATGCATCATAGAGATCTCTGGAACATAAAGCTCTGCCCAAGATACATTCTCTGTTTTGGTGAACCCTGATGTAAGCCACAGCTGTGGCATTTTCTGAAACTTAGACCGGATTTCTGGTCAGACGTGGGGGTCCAATAAAGTAACAAAGAAATTGATTGCACCTTCAGAATGTTGACTGGAATGATTCCTTTGAAGAATAACAACCCTAAAAAGACAGATAGTCGAGAACTCTCCCAAACCCAGAATTCTGGTGTCCATTGTGAAAATCTTCTAACACAAGAAAAAAAATTGACCTTCGACATTGTCAGGACAAAAGCCACCATGACAGAGACAGCTTGGTTCAGTGATATAACCAAGTCATCTTGTCCAGAGAAAGAATGGACTTGCCCCATACCGTGAGGATGTTCCGTTGTAAAGTTTTGGAGTAGAATCGAGCAAGTGAAACTGCTTCAAATGTGTACAACAGCAGTCCTAGCACTCGCATACAGTTCTGCGGGGAAGACAGACATTGGGATTGTAGATGCTGAAATTGATTCTGAAGTTTTGCCATCTTTTCCTGGAGTAGGAAGACCTTGACCTGAAAAGTGCCTAGGAAAAGACCCAAGTACTCCAAGCGATGTGACTAATCAAAGATGACTTCTTGATGTTCAGGATCGATCAGAAGTCCTCCAAGGTCAGCAGCAAGATGAAAATATTGGAGTCAAAGGTCAGAGAGGTCTGTTCATTTAGCAGCAGATTATACAGATATTTAATGGCTGTATAATGACTGTACATAACCAGAAATTATGCAAGGACATCTGTGAAAACTGTCAGGGCTGAGTCAAGGCCAAAACGAAGGGATACAAACTGTTAATGGTTGTTCCATGGCAAAGAAACACAATCTCTAGTGACCTGGAAAGATTGGAAAGTCAAGAAAAGACACTGGGTAGGCAATGTTTTTGAATAGAGTGCCTGAAACCAATTAGGGACAGGGAATTACTTTTCTGGGGTTTTCCAATCCTTGTAAATAAAGTAAACACCTTTGCTGCATGTTTAGGTATATGAGCACAAAGGCCAGACATTGTGGTAGGTGAAGTAATGGTGGATTCTTCTAAATTGAATTTAATTTGTTAAACTCACCACAGCTGCTGAGGATGCTGTCATATGCCTACCAAAGTTGGGCAGTGGTGAAGGAAAGCTGCCGTCCAGTGCCACAGCACTTCCTCAGAGGCCAGCAGAGCGGGGGAAGAAAGCACACGTGCAGTCAAAAGTGTTGCTGAGTCCAGGCTGCTGAAGTAACAGCGAGACATTCAAAACAGTGGTCTGGGCAAAAACACCGCCCAGCCAACAAGTAAAGCACACAAACATAGCCCTTTTAGTGAAATTTAAAAGGGAGGGATGCCCCAGCCCCCCAAATTGTAAAAGCAGTTATAAGTCTGTTTAGACAGCAATAAGAAAATGTATCTCTCTCTCCAGCCACAATTACAAACATGGTTTGAATCCCCGTAACAATGGGTAACTAAACTCTCCATTTTGTGAGTGTGTGCAGAGAAAAGGTAACAAGAATTGCAACAGCCCTGGTCCCAGCACCCAGTGAGGGATTCTCAGAAAATTGGTCTCACCTGAAAAGGGGAGTCCTGTGTCACTGAAACACAGTCTACATATCTCTGCCGACTGCAGGAATGTTGCAGAGAGAACACCAGTATACAAACCTGAGCTCATTAGCCAACTTAGACATTCAGAATATTCCATAACCGGCATGACTCTACCAGTAGTTTTTGATTTAAATTGTTATAGTCAAAAGCTGTTCACTGTATTGCAAATGTGAGTGTCCCTCTCCCCAAACGCATACATTCCCCCCCCCAAAAAAAAAACTATATAATTTTTTTGGTAGCTCAACAGTGATGAAGGTTATTACTACACTGAAAGCTCATAGGCACTGTTACACTTTCAAAATGAGAATATATAGCAATAGGAAGGGGGTCTCTCTCTCCCTGTTCAACATATTATTCCAAGTATTAGAGATCTCTCAAGAACATTTAACAACCTACTGGATAAATGAGCTAGTTGGACTACTGAGTGGACAGTAAACAAGGGCAACAGAACGGTGTTAACTTTAGTACAGTATGTGGTATATACACTACACGAGCCACTAGAGTTCAACCACAACAAACCCATGAATCCAAAATCATTATGGATCCGACTTCACACTGGCCCAGTCATTCTGGAAAGAAAAGGGCCACTGGATTGGAAATGCATAATTGTGTAAACTGTCTTTGTATTGTAAGCTGTAGATTTAACAGTACCCTTTACTGGAAAAGCTTGCAATTAGGAGTGTCCACATACACTCTGAACACTATATGACCAAAAGTAACAGAATGTGAAATAAAACTATCTTCCCTACATAACAAAAACTGTCTATGCCACACTAAATAATAATAAAATAAAAAAAATATGTTGTGAATGTTTTAAACTGATTTAGTGTCTACAAAAATCAGTTACAAAGTAGGGTCACTGTAATTGATTTCATTGAAAAGGACTGTTATTATCTGGTCACGCAATATGTTTTTTTGTGGACTTTGTGCATGTTTGTCACCTTATCTTTATTTGTGGTATGGATATGTTATCTGAAAGTGTGGTGAGGATTTAGTAAATGCACTTGAAGTTTTCTTAGATGTCTTTCACAAAGTAGATTATTTATGAACTTTGAGCACAAAAATAAAATATTTAATGTAGATTTAGGAAAGAAGACCACTCACTTGTCTTGTGACTCAATATAAACATATAGATGGGGCTCAAAACACTTAGAAATGATGCCATGGAAGGGGTTCTCTGGTACTTTTGGCTTCTTTAGCTGCAAAGAATACAAAGTGGTTTCAAACAAAAACAGCAGTCACCAAGTCACTATATCTTATTGTTTTAGTGTTTCGACAGTAAATCTCTAGGCCCCTGATCTTCTTATGACCAATTTGGATTTACTACTGGATAAGCCCTCCTAACATTTAAGCTTTAAAAGATTGCCTTTCAATTGTGCACAACATGGAAGATATACCTGTATTTTCTGTGTATGAATACACTTTAATTGTCAGCATCATTTGTTAGTTGACAGTGTGACAAAGATACTGTGTAGCTGGAAGAGCTTCTGGTTTACCAGCGCTCCTCTAAAAACCCTGTTTATCTGTATAGAACCATAACACTTTGTGGACCAGCACACTGTCCAAGACTGTAAACTGCTCATGTACAGTTAAATATATATGGGTTGAGTTGACTTTTTCCTTTTTGCTGTCTTGTATATCAATGTATTTGTCATATTATGCTTATTCATTGACAATGGTTACCACTGACTGACAACAACTGTGATGGTCTTCCTGCCCGTTACTATATTTGACATGACCCACCAATATGCTGGTCATCATCATGAGCATCTAGTTGGAAAGAATTAAAAAACAAAACAAAAAAAACAGATAATACCAAGTGAATGTTTTACATTTGCTGATTTTAGCAACCGCACAGGTTGCTGGTATACATCAAATTTTGAAGCAAAGCCTTCTCAAATTGAAACAATGAACAAATCCACAGAACTCACCTTATCAAGGTCACCATCTCTTTCAAGAGCCGATTCATCTCCAATGTTGTCATCATCTAGGAAGGGATTGGTAGAAACTGGAGCTTGGGGCTCTGGCTTTTTCTTAAAACAGAAAAGTAGAATACATTATATATATTTGCTTTACTTTAAGCTAATTGATTCAATATCCACCATTTGGGATTAAAGCAGAGAAAGTAGAAATAATGTATCTGAATACATTAAACCAGTATCTTATTGTGCTACATTTTCATGATATTGCTGTTCTTCTGCCAGGCTTGATAGCAATTTCATAAAGAGCCTATACCTACTCAAACACATCATACACACTACTTGGTAAGGCTATACTGTATATATCCCTGGTGCCCAACCTGTGCCTCACGTGTGCCCCCTTGGCACTTACTGTTCGAGCTTCGGGGGTTTCTGCAGATAAGGGTCTGTTTTGTTGCTTTCTTAAGAGAACTATGGCCCAATATTTTTTTTGCCATAGTTCTCTTTAGGGTCACAGGAGGACATATACTAATGTCCACCTGTTACCCAAAACTTAGCATATAGCGGGCTATTGCCAGCTATATGCTGACAGTGCAGAGTTGTGCTGCAGTCAGAATGGATCTGCCTCTCTAGAGTCAGAGCCAGCTGTGCCCGCCCCCTCCCGAATCCATTCCTCCAGTCAGAGCTAGAGGAATAGAGAGAGGGGAAGGGGGAATCCCTGCGAGGAGCGGTAACTAATAGTCACCGCTCTCTGCAGGGAGATTATCAGGAACTGAGAGATCGGCGGTATGTGATCATTCAATTCCCATTGAATAGAGCCGACATGTGACAGCTGCAGTGTCACTAATCGGCTCTAATTATTGTGAGGAGTGTATTTCACAGTTTCCTAATTCTCCTTTAAGCCAGTGAAGGAAAATATTCTTTAGAGTGGCTTTTAGTAGTTAATGGTTTTGTTTATTTCCTGCACTCTGTCTTAATGTTTTCCTGCACCTTTCATCCTTTTTGGGTTTTGTTTGTTTTCCTAAGCTTTTATAATGGATCTTGTAGCATCAGTTTTTAAGAGAGCTGTAGTGAGCACATATGTGGAAGCATTGACTTGTAAAGGGGCTGAAACAGCACTGATCTCTACCAGGCATGTATATGATCTGGGACAGTGATCAGAAAAAAACAAAGCTGGACTTCAGGCAAATGTTAACAAGAAAACACCCAATTAATACAGTTATGGGTTTTAGATTAAAAAAAAATAATTCAATGCAATACAAGGAGCAGACTTGACTTTAGCCTCTTATTATTGCCTATACAGCAGTACGCAGACATTAGGAGAGGAAAGGCCAGTACTTGAGGCCAAGCAAATGTCCTGATTTCACATGTGATGACAAGGAACACAAGGACCGGTAGAAAAAGCAACACCTCAGCAGCCCGTTGCTGCTCCTTTATGGTCCAATCACAGGCTGGAAACAGGAAGGTGCCACAACATCAGGCTTGCCATGGTGTCTGGTACGACTATGAAAATATCAGAACTCGATGGATAGCAACACACATCCATTAACAGGTGAGTCAACTCCCATATATATGTTTCAACAGTGTATTTAGTGGTTGCTTAGAGTTTTACTGAACCAGTAAATCAGTAGGTTGTACTGGATCAGTACAACACCGAGGTAACTAACATGTTCAGAAGAAAAGGTAATCAGTGCAAACCACTATATTTACTACGCACAGGTTTGTATTCATTTGGTAAACTATTCACTGCTAAATGTTATACATGATGGACAAGAAATTTCAACATAAGAAAAGAAAATATCTTTAATCATGATACTCTTTCACATACCTTTATAAAAAATAGATCTGGCACTCTACCACAGACCATATATATTAAGGAGCACCTGGTGACTTTTTGGTGAAATATGACTGAATAGGTCTTGTTTTTGAATAGGCGTTTCATTAATAAAATGAATAGTCTGCCTTGAGTAGAGGAATTGTGTTGGCTGTGCCCTGACCCTCTCTAATGTCCTTGGGTGAACCAGCATTCTCTCCACAGAGATAATGAAAAGCACACGTGAATATATTGCATTCTGTAAATTAGAAGCGTATTTGTATGTTGAATAAAATACGACAATGATAATATGTAAACTGATGTCTTGCCAAAGACATTAAGTCAATGTAGCTATGGGTTACTTGTGTACCAGTTTATTAAAGAAGCCAGCCTGTTAGATCACAGTGATGAATGGGATCACAAAACACAAATCAACATAGCATTTAGATATTGTTGAATGTTCTCCCATGCAGTGAGGCCAATTTACCAAGTCTGCAGGTCCATTCTCTTAGGCTACTAGGAAGTATCAACTCCACTTTTTAACCCACCAGAACACTAGCTGTTCTTATGCGTGTCCTTTGACATGCTTCAACAATAGCACATAGAATAATATCAAAGCAGCAAACTGTCAGTCACCCCTATTATGTCAAATTTGAACAATTGATGGAACAGCAACTGCCAGCCTGATATGGCAATTCAGCTGCTGTAAAGAGATGATAGTAAATCAAAATATTCAAATAACTGGTATAATTACATTGTATTCTTATGGGCTAAATGTAAGTGTTACCGCTGCTGATATGAACAATATTTTAAAAGTCTAAAGCTGAAGAGCCCATGGGACCATCTAAGGCCTCATTCAGACCGGGGCGTACATGTCCGAATGCAGACAGTGCTCATTCAAGTGCGGACACCCAGACCCACACGGATGTGCAAGTTCAAGTGTGCGGATGAGAGCATAAAGCTGCGTCCTTCCATAGGGAAGAAGAGGCTGCTGCGTGCAATTACACATAGCACCTGTCCCTCCCGGGATCGGCCAGTTTACAGGTGTGCACGCCACATGGATATCTACGCCCCATCTGAATGAGACCTTAAAAAAATTGCAGATAAAAGTACAGAAAAATACACTTTTTTAATTGCTTACTGGCAGTATTTTTTCTTTCCCTAGGATTTATTTTACTAACCTGCAATGAGCCTATCAACTTGCTGGCAAATTTCACAAGTCAATTCTCTAGAATTAATCCCTCCTTTCTACCACGTCATAGCCCTCTCCTCTTCTGGGAGTGTCCCTGTGCCCTGTACTTGCTCAAATCTTCTGCCCCTACCCTCACCTCCCTACGTAATGTTTTCTGCAGTAATCGGGGAAGGAGCAAAGGGGAATACTATAGAGTGTCACTTAAGTCCTCTTGTAGCTGGCCATACACTGCTGGAGTTCTGCTGACTCATCTGAAATTAAATTAGTGTGTGGCCTTGTTGGCACCACTCTTTTCAACAAAAGTACATTTTTCGATCAACTTTTGTTGGAGGGACCAGGCTGAAAATTTTTGGATGAACAGTGACTGCAGTCACTGTTCAGATATTCTGACAGCAGCATGAGCAGGGGACAACTGTTTGTTGATTAGGCATGTTATGCTTTCATTTCAAACACCTTTTTGTTTACACTTTATTAAACAAAAAAAATGACATCTCCCAGCATCCAAAGAGCTACAGTAACTTGCACTACCTAGTTGATACACCATATTACTGCCATTACACACATAGTTAACCTTTGACCACTAAAACAGTGTCACCTTACCACAACAGTGTCAGTCAAGGTACAGCCAGAGAACTTTTTTGCTAGGAGACCCTCAAAGTTAGTGGTTCTCTGAATAGCAAAGAGCAGCAGCTTCACCTCGATTTCCTTCGCTCTTGTCCTCATGATTTTTGCAAGATCGTTCCTGCAGAAAATTTTAACATGCATTAACAATAACAAAACCATCTATAAAATAAATGTATTCTTCCACCAATAAATGAAAGCAGTACTCAGGCAAATACCTACATACAACTGTATTTAAAATAAACACTCACTGGCCACTTTAGCAACTGCTGATATACTGGGATTTTCATACACAACCATCTCTCGGGTTTACAGAGAGTGGTCCAAAAATAAGAAAAGATCCAGTGAGCGGAAGACTGGTTCAAGCTGATAGAATGGCAGCAGTAACTCAAATAACCACTCGTTACATCCGAGGTATGCAGGAGAGAATCTCTGAACACACAACACATTGAACCTTGAGGCAGATGAGCTACAGCCTCAGAAGACCACACCAAGTGCCACTTCTGTCAGCTAAGAACAGGAAACGGAGGCTACAATTCGCACAGGCTTACCAGAATTGTAAAATAGAATATTGGAAAAACATTGCCTGGTCTGATGAGTCTCGATTTCTGTTTCAACATTCGGATGGTTGGGTCAGAATTTGATGTAAACAACATGAAAGCGTAGATCCATCCTGCCTTGTATCAATGGTTCAGGCTAGTGGAGCTTTGCATCATGGATGTGCAGCCAACAAATCTGCAGCAACTTTGTGATGCTATCACCTCTGTCATGGATTGGGACATACGGGTATGAACTGGAGTCAGGTATGTGGACCCTTTCCACTACAATGGCAGGGACACTTAGAGAAAAGGGTCCAAGCAGTGTAGGCTGACAACTCCCAGAGATGGAGTACAAGCAGGGAACAGAGCAGGGGAACTGAATGAGGCAGTGGAAGTCAGCTTAAGGTGGAAGTTCAAATACAAGGCAGGGTGCTGCAATGCTGAGTAGGTGGCATGGGATGCTGAGTAGGTGGCATGGGGTCCCACAGGATGTGGAATCTAAGGGCCAACCGGTATTCGCCAGAGCTCCTGATGGCGGAGATGGGCTTGGCTGCCTGCTGACCCCAGGTCACAATCCCTAGGTGCACCCAACTCACCTAACAGGTACAGGGTACGAATCAAAGGTTAGGGACAGGCTGAAGACTTCCAGGGACAAAGCGTAGCACAGGGCAGACTGTAGACAAAGATTTCCAAGGACAAGCCAAAAGGTTCGGTACACAGGAAAACTTCCAGGAATTCAGGGTAAATCACAAATGGGGGACTCGCCAACTAGCTTGGGAAAGCATTGCTCGGGCCCTATATTGTTTGCTGCCCTGAGTTTAAATAGAGACGGGAAAAGGGAGGATCCACAGGATTGGCCACACGCGGACTGCACTGATTAGCTGAGAAGCTGTATAAGAAACAGTAGGAGAGGTCGGCCGACGCCTAAAGCTGCCAGACAGGTGCAAGTGTGAGTCAGGTTCAGAGCACATGCCTGGAGGACTACAAGCACCAGCACAGCCATGCATGCCTGCACAACCAGGGGTGAGGGGTATGTATATACTTGTAGAACTACAAGTAACAGCTCAGCTGCAAGTCTGCAGCTGAACTGTGAAAATGTCAGTGTGGGCCAAAATCCCTGAGGAATGTTTCCATCACTTTGTTGAATCTATGCCACAAAGAATTAAAGCAGTTCTGAAGACAAAAGGGGTCCAACCCAGTACTAGCAAGGTCTACAAGAAAGGCACTTTATTGTTCCTCTGCCACTCCCTTACCTTGCCCATTCACAAAACACTTTGAATACTGTGAGTAAATTCATACTAAACAAAGCATTGGGTGAATTAGCAAGGGGAGAGAAAGGGCTGACAATCGACAATACGGCTTTGTTGTATGACAGCTACAGTTCTCCTGTTGCAGCGCCAGAAGTATAGTGAGAGTTATACTATCTGGCCTGATTGGAAATTAAAATTACAGTAGCTATGCACGTACATAAAGTGTATTTTAAATAACGCTGCTTAAATTTTACTTGGCACTTTACATTCTCTGATATTGTTTGAGAAGTTCAATGTTTGTCTTTGGCACTACACTAATCATCAGGTTGTTCATTGCCTTGGTTTAATGTGCGGCCATGTGGCCCAGATACGATGTGAATTATCTCTGTACCACTTTGTTTACAAATAAAGAATTTAAAAAAAAATTTTACTTGCCCTTTTCTGCAAAATCTAAAACTGAATTTGTCCCATTCTATTTAATGTTAAGGTGGAGACTTAGGGTTATTATGTTAAAATTACCTTCTATCTGTGCTGGCAGATTCAACCCCTTCATGACTGAGCTAGTTTTCAGGTTCTGTTCATAAATGACTGACACATTTTTTACATTTTTGCTGTGTGATTCTTCCACAGCAGTAATATACTTTCTTACTAAATGTACCCACACATATTATATATTGTTTTTTAGAGGACAGATAGGGCTATATAATTATATCACATATGTGTACCTAACCCCTCACTTAGTTTGAATAAAATAAAAAAATTAGGAAAAAAACTAGAAGAAAACACTTTTTTCACAAGTTTTGATTATTATTATTTTTTTTAGAATTTTTTTATATTAATTATAGTATAAAAAATATATTTATATACAATTTATATTTTCCTAATTTTGTTTTACACTTTATTTTAATTTTTTTACACTTTGTAAAAAAAATAAAAATAAAATAAAAAAACTTTTTTTTTTCTTGTCAGTTTATATCAAGCAATCACTATGACAGCTTGATAAATTAACTTTTTTATTTTATTTTTGGCTATTAGGCTGATCCAAACTTAGGAACAGCTAATAATAACCTTAGAGACTGATCCTGACTTTAGTCAGATTCAGATCTCACTAAAAGCTCTTTGATCGTGCCTAGACGATCAGAAATGATACATTTCACTCAAAAGAGATACATTGTATTCTTTCAGTGAAATGTATCCAAACATCGGGCTCTCGAACTGTCAAAACAAATAGCAGAGAGGTGAGGTGAGTCACTGCTGCCTCTCTGCTATTTTGAGCTGTCAAATACGGGATCGCAAATTGCGGTCCTCTATTTGCATGTAACGGCTTCATTCTTTCATTAATGAAAGGAAGAAGCTTTTACAAAAAGCTTAATTATTTCATTAATTAATGCCTCAATACTGAGACATTAATGAATGACTGTTAAATGCTGAGAATCAGCAAATACCGGCATTACAAAGCCTGATATAACTCGTCACGTACAGTGTACGTGGCCAGTCATATAGGCACAAAGTGACAAGACGTACACTGTACGTCTCCCGTCACGAAGGGGTTAATTATCGGTTTTAAATACCGTTTGCCCTAAGAAAGTGTAAAGATCTCAAGGCTTGTGTTCTACATTGTATGTTAATGAATTTTCAGAAACTCAGTCTGTCCCCAATTTGTCTCCCACCCCTTTTCACTTTGAAATTGTTCCTAATAGCTTACAGTCTGCCCAAAGATCTCCCTGAAAAATGTACAGTGGGAAGTTGCACTTCCAACTCCCCCTACACTAGAATGATATCAACAAACACAATTTCTGGTGCTGTGCATCTGCGCCATCACTCTGCTGTGCCATTCACAAAGCATAGCACTATGACGACCTTTGTGCTGTGTTTTGTAAAAGGCACAGCAGAGTAAAGACGGTGGAGGCACAACAGTGGAAATAATGTCATTTATAGACATTATTCCAAAGCAGCGGGGAGCTGAAAGTGCAGCTCCCCACTGTACATCTTAGGAGCTCTCATCAGAGCTTAAACGGCCCCTAAGTAATACAAATTAGAGTGGTAATGACAAAATTAAAGATTACAAAAAACAAGTAAAAATATATCTGTCTGGAGTTGGGCTTTAAATATTCTTGTGTCCCCCTGTTGCTCTTTGGAATAGTGAATCACCACAGAGACACACAATGCAAAGGGGTTTTATCTAGCTGGCTATGCAGTGTGGTGGAAGGGGTGAACAAGGTTGGCTGAAACACAATTACAACAAAAAAGGTTAATCGATAAGCGAACCTGTGATTATGATAAACCAAATCATTGCTCAATAAGGGTAAACAAAAAAACAAAAACGGTTTATCTTGCTAGAAATGTAATGTTATACTGTGTACTCTGCAATCATATCAAATAGTGGTATCAGCCCTGCCCCAGGTTAATTTTAACTATAGAGCACCACCCCCCAACAATGGTCTGAAGAGATAGAGAAGTGAAAGCATTCTGTAGTCCTTAGACACTTCCTGTCCTAAGTATCTTAGGTACAGTACAGTGAGTGAGAGTTGTTACCCGAGGACAGGAAGTGTATTACTAGCAGGTAAAAATAAAGCACACAAAAAGCCTGAAACAAATAATTTAACCACCACATCAGAGGACCGATAGGCTGCAATACTGAAAGGCTGTCCTTGGGGTGATATCCACTTTCCTGAACACTATAAATAAAATGCGTTATTTCATGGCCATGGCACACAATATCAAACTACTTGACAATACAATGGAAAAAGGTGGAATTAAACAACATGTTTTGAACTTTATGAAACCAATATCAAAACCTGAGAACAGAACCTAGTGTTAAGTTTCATGTGGTTTCATAACTCATCATAAGTGCAGATAAATAAATTGCAGAGCTTCTTTTCTGACATATGAGCAGACTAACTGAGTCGTGGGCCATTCCAAACAGAAATGACCCCAGTGACTTTTCCACATACGTTTCAGGCTTTTGCTTTTATTGTTAGGACTGGGCAAGAAACATGTTTGTGGAAAGGTGAGGAGTTCAGGGTACAACTCATGAGGGGTTTAAGCCAGCATGTGTAGTAGGAGAACAAAGCTTTGGCAGCAGATGCAGTTCTCATTAGAGAGAGAACAATGACAGGTATAAAGGATATTATAAAAGCTCTGGTACTATGGATACTTTTCATCTCAAGGGGATTTCTTTTTTTTTTTTCCTGGAGTCTACTCGGCACAGAACGAGCCGCTAAACTATTGAATGAAGTACTTGGGCAGCTCAAGGTCTTACATTTTGTACAGTTTTTACTGAAAACTCTCATTAAGGCATAAAGAAAATGAATGTTGCCCTTAAATAATGAGCAAGGATTGTGCTGCTTCATCCAAAGTAAAAGCCCTTAAAGACGCATTTTATTTCTGAAAAGGCAAACTCTGACGTAAAAATAAAAATTGGTACCTAGGAAAATTAATTATGCAGAAAGACACTATGCACCAAAAGAAAGTCTGTACATTGGATTACTGCACCGTTCTGCTGTTAGAAATTAGGTGTATAATTATGTACAGAGGCCTGGAATCTCTAAAGAAAGTCACATACATTGTAGTATATATCCTAAAGGGGTCATAGACTCTACTGGAGCAATAGCCTTAGTGATCATTAGGAATGGAACAGCAGTAAATGTTGCAGACGTGAGATTAGGAGCATAGAAGAATGGTATTCCAACTATACTTAGTTTCCCCTAGTCAGTACTTTGTGAAGTTCATACATAGCAAATAATTGCAGAGTGAAAACCCTTGTTAAGGCATTGCAAATGAAAGCAAAATTGTAAACTAATGTTGGGAAATTGTACGACTGAAGATCCCTAGAGTGATAAAAAGCCAGGAGGGAATTCAGTTTACCAATGCCAATGAACTGACCTTTTTCCAAGAGAACAACTGTTATATTTTTGACCTAGCATTTAATTTTGCACAAAGTAACTAAATTCTCATACCAATGGGCTAAAGCAATGTGCTTTTAGCTGCACATTGCTTGCATTTAAGATCAGTTTGGACCTATTCTGAGATCATTCTTTCACTCTATCCCGCGGCCGACCCTTCC